TTGCCTGTAAGGTCTCTTTTGAGAAATCTGCTGACAGTCTGATGGGGACTCCTTTGTAGGTGACTGTCCCCTTCTCTCTTGCTGCTTCTAGGATTCTCTTCTTCATTTTAATCTTGGCTAATGTAATGATGATGTGCCTTGGTGTGTTCCTTCTTGGGTCCAACTTCTTTGGGACTCTCTGAGTTTCCTGGATTTCCTGGAAGTCTATTTCCTTTGCCAGATTGGGGAAATTCTCCTTTATTATTTGTGCAAATAAGTTCTCCACTGGTGGCTGTGGTCCTTTCCCCCTTCTGGTACCCCTATAATTCGGATGTTGGAGCGTTTAAAGATGTCCCGGAGGTTCCTAAGACTCTCCTCATTTTTTTGAATTCTTGCTTCTTCACTCTTTTCTGTTTGGCCATTATTTGCTTTCTTCTGGTCCACTCCATTAATTTGAGTCCCAGTTTCCTTTTTCATCGCTATTGGTTTCCTGTGCAGTTCCATTCATTTCAATTAGTTTTGCCTTCATATGGTTCTCTAATTTGTGGCTATAATCAACCAGTTCTGTGAGGATCCTGATCACCAGTGTTTTAAACTGTGCGTCTGAGAGTTTTGCTATTTCTTCATCGCTTAGATTTATAGGCTCTGGGGCTTTGAGATCTTCTTGCGCCATTTTTGGTCTGTTCTGGCCCTTTAAGTGTGAGAAGCGTGGCCTAGGACTCCCAGGTCGCTGGGGTGTGACGCTGTATGTGGGGGCATGGTCAGAGCGGGGAAATGGCGGCCCCCTCTGCTGTTTCTCGCAGCTGGGTGACGAGCAGCGCCTTAGGTTGTTGACCGGGTCAGGGTCACTTAGGTCGCTGGGTTATGACGCTGTACGTGGAGGCAGGGTTAGAGCGTGGAAATGGCGGTGCCCTCCGCTGCCCCTTGCCGCTGGGGCTGCTGGCTCTCGTCCAATCGCCCACTCCCTCGCTTGTCTGTCCACACACGAATGCGCGACCACAGTCAACCTGCAGCCCTGCTCCCTCGCTGTTTCCCCGCGATTGTTTGCTGAGTTGCCCACCAGGTCCAACCCTGCGCCTGGATTCCGCGGGCCTGAGTCTGTCTGACCGAGTTTTCCTGTGCTACCCTCCTCTGCCAGCTGCTGCTTTCGCCCCTCTTACCGGTCAGGCTGAAGAATTTGTTGTAATCAGACTTCCGAAAAGTTCCATTTTCTGTGTTCTGGCTGTGTTTTCTGTTGCTAATATTTAGTTGTCTCTAAACTTGGTTGTGTGAGGAAGCACGTCTCCACCTATGCCGCCATCTTGGCAGAAGTCCCTTAACTTATTTTTAATAATCTGGTTATTAGGTCCTGGCTGGTATGGCTCCAGGATTGAGCACTGGCCTGTGAACTGAAAGATCACCAATTTGATCCCCAGTCAGGGCACATGCCTGGGTTGCCGGCCAGGTCCCTAGTGGGGGGTGTGTGAGACACATCCAATCTAACCCCTTATCAAATACACAGTTTGAAAATATTTTCTCCCATTCTATAGGTTGCCTTTTCACTCTGTTGTTGCTTTCATTGTGCCAAAGCTTTTTATTTTGATACAATCCTACTTGTTCATTTTTGTTAACTGTGCTCTTGAAGACATATCCATGAAATTATTTGCCAGTATTGCAAAGCTTTTCTCCTGTCTTCTTCTAGAAGTTTTATAGTTTCAAGTCTCATGTTTAAGTCCTTAATCAACTTTGAGTTGATTTTTGTGTGTGATGTCAGGTAAGGGCCCAATTTAATTTTTTGCATTTTTTCCAGTTTTCCCCAATGCTGTCTCTTGAAGAGGCTATCTTTGCCCCATTGCATATTCTTGGCACCCTTGGCAAAGAGCAGTCTATCATGTAAATGTGGCTTTCTTTATGGGCTCTCTACTCTATTCCATTGATCCATATGTTGGCCTTTAAGGCCAGTGCCATAATGTTGTGATATATTTTGAAGTCAGAAAGTGTGATACCTTTACTTTTGTTCATCTTTTTCAAGAGTGACTTGTCTATTTCTGGTCTTTTGTGGTTCCATATTTAATTTTAGAATTGTTTTTCTATTTCTGTAAAAAAAATGACTTTGGGATTTTGATAGGGATTGCATTGAATCTATAGATCACTTATGGTAGTATGGACATTTTAACAATATTAAGTCTTCCAATCCATGAACATGGGATGTCTTTTCATTTGTTTGTGCCTTGTTAAATTTGCTTCATCAATGTGTTGTAGTTTTCAGTGTACAATTTTTTCACCCCCTTAGTTAATTTATTCCTAAGTATTTTGTTCTTTGCGATGCTGTTGTAATTTGGATTGTTTTCCTGGTTACCTTTTCAAATGGTTTGTTGTTAATGAATAGAAACACAACAGATTTTTGTAGGTTAATTTTGTATCCTGCAACTTCACTGAATTTGATTATTCTGGTCTTTTTAATGGATTCTTTAGAGTTTTCTGTATATAAAATCCTGTCATTGACAGACACAACTCTACTTCTCCCTGTCCCATTTGGATACATTTTATTTTTTATTTATTTACATTTTTGGCTCATTGCTCTGGCTAGGACTCCCATTACTATGTGGCAGAGAAGTGGGGAGAGTGGGCATCCTTGCCTTATTCTTGATCCTAAAGGAAATGTTTTCAGCTTTTCACCATTGAGTATGTTAGGTGGGAGCTTGTCACATGTGGTCTTTATTATGTTTGGACAGTTTTCTCCTGCTCCGACTTCATTAAGAGTTTCGTCATGAAATAGTGTTAAATCTGGCAAAGTTGTTTTTATGCAACTATTGAGAGGATCTTGTGTTTTATCCTTTATTTTGTTAACATGGTGTATCGCATTAATACATTTTCATGTGTTGAACCATTCTTGCTGCCCAGGAGTAAATGCCATTTGGTCATGGCGTAGGGTCCTTTAACGTGCTGTTGGGTTTGGTTTGCTGGTGTTTTGTTGAGGATTTTTTGCATCAACGTAGGTTAGAAATATTGGCCTGTAATTTTGTTTTCTTGCAGGGGTGTGTTGTGTCTCGTTTTCATTTGTCTCAGGGCATATTCTAATTTTCTTTCGATTTCTTCTTTAACACGATGGTTGTTCAAGAGTTGTTTAATTTCCAGGCACAACTGTACTTGAGCAACAACAGAAAAAAAAGGAATAAAAAGAGTTGTTTAATTTCCACATATTTGTGTACTTTCCAGTTTTCCTTCTGCTGTTGGGTTCTAGTTTTATTCCATTGTGGCCAAAAAAATATTTGGCATGATTTTAAAAAAATATTTTATTTATTTATCTTTAGAGGGGAGGGGAAGAAGAGAGGGAGAGAAATATCAATGTATGGTTGCCTCTCAGGCATACCCTGCTGGGAACTGGCCTGCAACCCAGGCACGTGCCCCTGACTGGAAATCGAACCATCGACTTTTGGTTCAAAGGCCAGCACTCAATCTACTGAGCCACACCAGCCATGAGATTTTAATTTTCTTAAATTTGTTAAAACTTTGTGACCTCACTTGTGATCTGTGCTGGGCAGAGTGGAAGCTGCTTCTCATCCCAGAGCTTCATGCTCCAAATCTCACCATGGAATCTGGCTGAAGCTAGTCTCCAGGGACAACTTCCTTGCTTAACTTTTATACTTCCCTGTCGTATCTTATTCCCCATCCCGAGCGCCTTCCTTCAATAAAGCTCCTGTACCTGAATTTCTTTCTCAGGCTGTTTCTAGGGAACCTGACCTAAGGTAAGAAGAAAACTGATGATGCAGTAGATGGAGAACAGAAGCAGAGACAAATCAATGAGTAAACAAAGGCCCTAGGTCTCCTCCACCCCCCGCCTTCCCACTCCAAGAAGCCCAATTCTGTCCCTTCATAGGAAAATGGTCGGATGAGTACATGAATGACATCACTGAGACTTTCTAGCTGGGGACACAGCTAACTTAGCTAAAACATGTCCCACACTGTAACAGAATGCATTGCAGTGACCTTAGAGAAGGAAGTCATTTTTTCCCACTTAGGTTTGTCTACTCACCCCACCCCCACCCCCAAATACCCTCAGGCACAGAGAAGCAGGCACATGCTGCTTTGCTCATCAAATCCTTCCCATTCTGTGTCCTGGTTATAATACTTCTCTGGGACGTTACATCCTTTTCTGAATTCCCAGCCCAAAGCAGAGGGCCTGGCACCAGTGAATACAACAGATCCTCAAATAACAGATTTGTTCAGTGTGGTTTTGTTATAACACCGATGGAAGGGGAAAAAAGCGCTTCGCAACCGCCGCCACTGTCCGTGGGGGTCTTCTCTGGGGTCCCCAGTTTCCTCCCGCATCCCAAAGATGTGGGCGTGAGCGGAACCGGCCTGCCCATGTCGTCCCAGTCGGACGGGGCGAGCGTGGTGTTGGGTATGCGGGCGCCCTGCAATGAAAGGGCCCAAGGGCGTCCTGTGGGGGTGGGGTCCCACCCTGTGCTCTGAGGTTGGGGCAGAGGTGCCAGCCACCTGACCCTAAACTGGAATAAGCAGGTTGGAAAAGAATGGTCCTATTTGCTTTTATTAATCTTTCTTATGTGTATGTAGAGTTCACATTTTCCCCCCAATGTTTAATATTAGAAGTATTTTGGGGTGTTTGGAAGTTTGGTGTTGTTTTTGTGACCAGAAATATGCTGTAGTAACTAAACTCTTATTTATATCATTCAGCCTGTCGTAAAGTTGGTTTCATTATTCGTGGCTTTCCCTTGAATCACACTGTGGGGAGATGTTCAGGGAGGCCTTACTGTATTCTATCAACAGCTACTGAGTGAAACGTGGGAAGGTGGGAGAGCGTGGAAAGGGTAGGAGGAGAATACCGGGAGGGAGGAAGAAGACTTCACTCGGAACTTCTCAGAGAAGGGGTTCTTGGGAGCCAGGGCCCTGAGCGGTTGGCATCGAAAACCCTGTGAAAAGCTCCGAGGCCTGTCACACTTTCCAGTCCAGGCCCCAGCCCAGGGGCGGTGGCCTCTGGAGGGCGCAGGACCTCAACAAGCTGATTGGGAGAATTCGTTCAGGCGCAGCACCCAACGAGGTCTTCCTTCTGGGGAAAGGACAACCCTGCTGCTGCTGCGGTCGTGTCCGTGTCCGGTGGAGCGGGAGCGCAGAACGGAGCGCAAGAGAGCGCGGGAGCGCAGGGCACCGAAGGGAGGGAGGCTCAGGGACTCAGATTTCTCCCCGGGCAGAAGGCACCGATTAGCCGGAGTGGTCTTCTTGGAACTGTGCACGGGACAGATTGAGCGCCTTCAGGCAGGACAAGGGTGAGTCTGGGGGCCGTCCTGGGGCGCGAGGGCAGTGGGCTGCGGTTGGATGCCTGGACTGGGAGGGGAGATGTGTTGTGGGTGGTGGTGGCGGGAGAAGCTGTTGAGGGTGGTGGAGTGGCGATCCACTGTTTGCTTTCCTTGAACTCATGACTGAGTTGGTTTCATTTCCCCCGCAATGGTGGGGAGCTGCCTGCTCGGGTCTCTGACTGCCTTCTGCCAAAGACCACGTGGAATGGGGTGGGGACAGGGTGGGGATGGGGTGGGGGTCGGAGGGGCCTCGGAACCCGCTCAGCAGAACTGTCCAGGAAACCCAAGACAGACAAACTCCACGTTGTCTGTGGCGTAAATTGCCGAGGTAGATGATTCCAGAACTTAATAATTCCCTCTTCCTATTCTGGGATCCATTTTAGGCACAAGGAGAAAGACTACTATCTCATCAAAAAAAGGGGGTGCCTCATACTTTTTTCTTTCTTTCTTTCTTTTTTTTTTTTTTTTTTTGAGAAGAGGAAATATTAATTACTTTTTTCCAGGGAATTTTTAGAGGACGTTTATTAAAGCTGGGGACAGTGAAACAAGGAAGGGCTTGGCATAGAAGAAGCAGAAGGAGAGGAACTAGGCGGGGAAATGAGCCTGGGCTGGCTGTTTTGGCTAAGAAGTCAGAGAAAGGGGGGTCTAGGGGCAGGGGCAGGGGTCAGCCCCGAGGAGCTGCTGCCGCCCGGTGCTCCCTGGCTGCAAGCCTGGTGGGGACCCTTAGGGTTTAGGAGATGCCCACCTGTGAGGGAAGGAGGGGGGAAGGGGAAGGGGCAGCCATGCTCCTGGGAGGAAGGGCAGCAGATTATTTATGGATATATAGTTTTAGTACCATTTAAAGATTTTTCACTTTAAAAAATAGTAACTTTTCTTCCCTCCTTGTTGGCAGCTTTACATCCTATATATACAGCAATCTTAGTATCTAGTGATACACATTCAAGCTTTTCTACAACGTAAGTTCCTGGAAATTTGCATTGTTGACCCAAAATATACATGTATTTGTAGTCCCTTTTATCCATTTGATATCTTTATCAGCACTTAATAAGCCCTAAGCAATTTCAGTAATCACAATTTTTTAACATATTTTAATCTTATAGGTAAGTCCTATAAGATTATTTATGTTTAAATAAATAAATTTATTTTTATTTATTTTTAAATTTATTTATTTACTTTTCTTTTCAATTTTATTTACTTATTTATTTTTCACATAGATAAAATTTATTTATTTATTTTTAAATCCTGGTTATCCCTACTAATTTCCTCTTTGAAATTAACTTTAGGATCATTTAGTTTCAATACCAAAATACACCACTGGGAGTTCCATTGAAATTGCTTTAAATTGGGTTTAAATTTGAGGAGGATTGTCAGGGTTGTCATTTTTAATCTTCCCAGCCAGAAATATAACAGTTCTCTTCATTTCTTCAAGCTTTGTTTTGTGTGGTCTTCTTCATACTGCATCATCATTTTTCCTGTAAATTTCTTGTTTTAAGTTGTCACTTTTATGAGTGAAGTGTTTTCCATGTTATCTTTTCTGATTAGTTTTGGCTGAGATGTAGATTTTTGATGAAGCTGGTAGTGAGGTCACTGGAGCCTGACGCTGTGAAACTGAAATCCACAAGATTCCTTGAACCACACTCTCACGTCTGCTTTTGTCTCCAGTGGACCAGAGAAAAGTGTAAAAGCCCATCCATTGCCCTCATGGGTCCCAAGAAATGGCCTTGAAGGCATCTGCTTAGCAACTGGGAATAACTGGGTAGCCTGAGATCCAGAGTCTTTTTAGTTATGCCTTAGTACCTGTTACCTACCTTGCCAGATCTGTATAACTTTAAGGCGAGGAAAACAAAAGTATATCAATTGGTTGCTTAGTTGGTTTCACTTCCGCTAGTTTCTTTTGCATGCTTTAACCCCAGATTTGGGTTTCAGGCCAATTAAGTCATCCAAACTGTTGTCTGATCTGTAAAATGGTGATGATAGGTGTCCCATCTGCTTCATTGAGCTGTTGAGATGAACTCTGTGTAAAAGTACTTTGGAAACTGTTTCCATGGTCTTGTACCTATTTCCATGCAACTTCCTCGAGCCTCAATATCTCCATCTACAGACAGTGAGCTCATGGTTCTAAAGCACTTAGCATATAGTGAGTACAGAGATTTGTGGTCATTGTCATTATCATCATTCATTACTGAACCCAGTGGCCTTTAGTTACAGGTACTACTTTAGTACTAAAGGTATTAGTACAACAGGTATTACTGTAGCAAATTTAATTCAAACTAGCTTACTAATAAGGAAGGTTACTGGTTCATGAAACATGTAACAGAAATGGGGTAGACTTCAGAGTCGGTTCAAACCAGTGGCTGAGTGTTGTCAAGGACTCAGATCCCACCCTTTTCTTTGCGTTCTGTCATTTGTAGGTTGCCTCTTCCCAAGGCTTTAGGACTGGGGCCCCATGCTTTCTCAGTTATACTCAGATAATAGAGAGAGTTAGAGGAGTTGCCTTCCTGGGCCGCCTTAGGGGATCCAGGAATCTCCCCAGCAAACATTCCCCTCCACTCAAGTGAGCCCAGGTGCCCAGTTTTGAATCAATCACTGCAACAGGCTACTAGGAATCGTCTGATGGTTAGATCAAGATTTTTCAACCCCTGCACTATTGACATTTTGGGCTGGATAATTCTCTGTTGTGGAGGGTCTATCCAATGCATTGCAGCACCCCAACACCTACTCAGTATATGTAAAGAGCACCCATCTCCCAGTCGTGGTGATTAAAAATGTCTCCACATTGGAGCAGAAATTCCCTGGAGGGCAAAATCACCTTCAATGGAGAACCGCTGGTTTAGATATATCAACTTTAACCCCTAGAACCAGGGATGAGGCGAGCTCCCTTCAAACACATTGCTGAGTGGAGGAGAAGCAGACAGTCACTTAAGATCTAGGAGTAATAGGAAGCAGAGAAGAAGTGGGAGCTGCGAAGGCAACACAGATGTCCACCACGATTCCTCTGGGACTGGACATTCTCTGAGTCTTTAGTGCAGATGCCTCTGAGGGGGGCAGCATTCACAACGTGAAGTCTTACTGATGCCGAGGCCAATGGAGAGGCTGTGACAAATTAACAGCTTGCTAAAAACACCACAGAGAGAGTCGGGGGCCAGGACTAGGGAGACAAGGATGCTCAAGCATTGGAAAAGAGGTAGAAAGGAAAAGTGGAGATCCACAGAAACCAACTTCTAGTACAATCCTGAATGTCCTTGGCCAACTGTGGCCAAGGTTGCAAACAGGGGCTTCACAGGCAATATCCAGGGGGCAGTCATATTTTATTTGACCCACACAGTGTTGGACTGCACAGTTTTTAAAGCATTTTTTACTTGGTTGCAAGATTTTAAATCAAGAGCTTTGACATAAAAATCCAGATTTCTGACTGCTCCTTTAAAAATGCAAGGTCATCCACCACTGGGCCCTTTATCTTTGCTGAGTAACTCGGGCCTTCTTCAGATGGGCCCTGAGCTTTCCAACCCACCATGCTGTGGTCACCCCTATACTTTGGCAGGATAATTTGTTAGAATAGGCTAAACTGACATAACGAGTAGACCCCAAGATATAATGGCTCAAGTGCAATAGAAGCTTATTTTTCATTCACTTAACAGTCCATGGTAGATGGTCCAGGTCTGTGAGCAGCCTTCTTCCAAGTGATGATTCAGGGATCCAGGATTCTGCCTTCTTGAGGCTCCACCTTCCTTCTCAGGGCCTTACCCCTGCCCCCAGGGCTGTGTCATCCAATGCATCCAGCTGATAGTATGTAGAGGAGACAAACCTGCCTCAGCTCAAAGTAGTACATAACATATCCACCACACCCCATTGGTGAGAACTAGTCATACAGCCACATCACGCCTCAGGGAAGGCTGGGAGATACGGTCCTAGGTGGGCTGACACTTTTCAGCCACACTGTTATTATGGAAGAGCAGAACGAATTTTGGTGGACAGCAAACCATCTCTGTCTTACATGAAATTGTGGGGAGACCTCTTCGGCCACTCCAGTCACAGACACTCTTGAGTCCAGTAGTAAATATGCAGGAGATTCTGAGGCTCTAACAAATTTCATCAGTTTCTTCCAGGTATGGATAAATTGGGGGCTGTCATCTCCTTAGGCCAGTTCGTGTACAACCAGTGTGACACGATGCAGCACTGCAAGGGACAGTGCCGGCGTCTAAAGAGCCGGATCCAAGGCCTGCTGCAGCCTCTGCAAGAGCTCCGGGACCGAGACAGGAACCTGCCCGACGTGATCACCACTGCCCTGGACAAATTCCAGGCTGTCCTAGAGAAAGCTAAGACGCAGATAGATAATTTTAGCAGTAAATCCAACGCCTTTAAGTTTATAACTGCAGGGAGGGACAAAGTACTCTTTAAAGACATAAACAGGGAGTTGAATGATGTCCACAGGGAGCTCTCACTGAGGCTTCAGGTGTATCAGTTGGTGCCTACTTCAAGCAGCAGCCAAGGAGGGAGCTGGGAGCAGGAAGATAAGCAGGATGCAGAGGAAGATTGGCAAGTCCTCCAAAGCCTAAGTGGTAAGGTTTATTTTGGGACATTTTAGTCTCATTTTGTCTCCTTCTTTTAAAAAAAAATTCATTTACTTATTTTCAGAGAGAGAGGAAAGGAAGGAGAAAGAGAGGGAGAGAAACATTGCTGAGCAAGAGAAACATCAATTGGTTGCCTCTCGCACCCCCCAAACTGGGGACCTAGCCTACAACCTGGGTATGTGCCCTGATGGGGAATCAAACTGGCGACCCTTTAGTTCACAGGCTGGCACTCAGTCTGCTGAGCCACACCAGCCAGAGCTAGTCTCATTCTGATTTACCGAAGGAGCAGGAAGGCTGAAGGAGTTTGAGCAAATGTTTATTCGTGTGACTCAGACCTCCAAACATCCCTGGGCCCAGATATGGTGGGGGCCAGAGTCGTGGGGGGGGAAGGTGTTGACACTAATAAGTCTTCTTTGCCTCTCTATACTCGCTGTGATGTGACACCTGGAATTCCAGGAACTAATTCCTTCCAGCCTTAGTTTCTCCAGGACCTTCTGTTAATATATAAATTACCCAGGGGGGAATTAACTAATTAAGCAAACATGAATTGAGTACAGTCACGCACTACTTAATGATGGGGATACAGTCTAAGAAATGTGCCCTTAGGTGATTTCGTCGATGTGTGTATATCAGAGTGCACTTACACAATCCTAGATGGTCTAGCCTGCTGCACACTTGGGCTGCATGGCACTGCCTATTGCTCCGAGGACACAAGCTGTACAGCATGCCACCGCACAAGCCAAAAATCTTGTGGCTTGTGCCTGTGGCTTGAGGTAAAGATACCTCCACCAAGAAGCGGACCATAAGTGCTGAAGGTCAGGAAGGTCCTGCCTTTCAGCTGGGTCAGCCTCTGCACACACACCCTACCCCCAGTCCCTGATTCTCTTTCTCCCTGTTGGGTGTTTGGTTGGGAGATTTCAGGTGTCTCACTTTCCCTCATCCCCAAAAGGACCCATCTTGCCCGCAGGTCTCCTCCAGATCCTTCAGCACTTACGGTCTGCTTCTTGGTGTCTCTTGATTGCATCCTATTCCCCTGTGCTATAAGTAAAGCACAGGGGAATAGGATGCAATCAAGAGACACAGTCAACACGAGATACAGGAAGTTACTACTGGCATAACATGGCATGCTGTCTTACAATAAACTTTTTTTTACAAGTAGAAAGAGTACACTCTAAAATAGTAATAAAAAGTATAGTATAGTCCTGGCAGGAATGGCTCAGTAGATTGGGTGCCAACCTATGAACCAAGGGATTGCCAGGTCAATTCCCAGTCAGGGCACATGCCTGGGCTGCAGGCCAGGTCCCTGGTAGGGGACGTGCAAGAGGAAACCACACATTGATGTTTCTGTTCCTCTCTTTCTCCCTCCCTTTCCCTCTGTCTAAAATTAAATACAATTTTTGAAAAAAGTGTAGTACAGTAAATACATAAACCAGTAACCTTGTCATTTATTATCAAGTATTATATACTGTACATGATTGTATGTGCTGTACTTTCATACGACTGGTAATGCAGTAGGTTCGTTTAACCAGCATCACCACAAACACATAAGCAGTGTGCTGCGCTGCAACATCACTAGGCCACAGTTATCTTTCAGCTCCATCATAATTGTACGGACCACCATGGTATATGCGGTCCATCACTGACTGAAACATTGTTATAAGGCGTGTGACTATATCTGCCATATGCCAGGTACTGTTCTAAGTGTTTGAGATACAGCACAGAGCAAAGTGGACAAGATCTCGGCCTTTATGGGACATACAGTCTGCACCTAGCGGGCTCAATAAGTCATTTTATCTAACAGCAATGTAAGTCATAAGCAGGGCAGTGAAATAGAAGGTGACTGGGTGCAGATTGAGTGTTCAGGGAAAGCTTCTCTGACTGGGTGATGTTGGAACGAATACCTTGAATGATAGAAGAAGCAGAGCCTACGAAGAGGAGGGAAGGGAACCTTCTCAGCAGAGAAAATGGGATGCAAAGACCCTGACATAGGAATCAATGTGGCAAGTGCCAGGAACAGCTGGAAGACCAGGACGGCTTTGCTGTCGTAGGCACAGAAGAGAGAGCAGTGCAAGGTGAACGAGGCCAGGAGCTACAGGAGCAAGGTCATGCAGGGCCGTGAAGGCATGATGAGAAATTTAGATTTCGTTCTGAGTCATAGGAAGCCAGTGAAGGGAGGTTCTTAACTGTGGGCCTGTCCTGAGTTGATTTGTATTGAAGAAGCATCACATGGGCTGTCCTGTGGCAATCACCTGAAGTGGTACGTGTTAGTTCCTGCACTAATACTGCATAACAAAACATCCCCAAACTCAGAGGCTTAAAACAATAGTCATGAATTTTCCTGCTCGAAGACCTGGGCCCACTGGGGTTCTCCTGACAACAGGAGGGCTTGGCTCCAGGCAGTGGGTCCAATTCGAGTCAGTTTAATTGTGTCTCATTATGGAGCCAAGACTGTAGGAGCAGTGAGTACCTGGAGAATGTTATTCTTGCAGCAGAAACGCAAGAAGGCAAGCCCAGCGGTGCCAGCACCTTTCAAGTTTCTACTTGTATCCTCTTCTATTCAAAGCAAGTGATGTAGCCAAGCTCCATGTGAAGGGGCAGGGAAGTACAGTGTGCCCACTATGAAGCTGTGGCTGGGGTATGGATGTGTAATACTACTACATAGGAGTGAGGAATTGGGACCAATAATTCAACATACCCCAGGGGGCAAGAGTAGAAGTGCGAGCCCAATTAGGAGATCAGTTTGATGGCAGTGGCTTGAACTAGAGTGGCCCTTGAACTAGGTGGCTTAGTGCAAGACAAGACTCTAAGGAGATGAAACATGGGCTGGGTTGGAGTAGGGGTGCAGTGGGGCCAGGGCCATCAGAAGAGGGAACAGAGGGGAAGGATGGAAGAAATGTGGTTTCTTTACCCCTTTGCTATGGGGTAAACCCCTCATGTTATGAATTCCAAACTGTTCCCTTTTGCAAGGATTGTGGGTGGAGAGAGAGGAGGTGAGGAGAGGGTGAAGGACATTTGAATGAACCCTCTGGGCACTGAAGCCCAGTAGCATAACAGTTCTGCCACCTTGATGTGGAGGGTGGTCCATCCCCAGTCAGGTCAGCAGGAGACACTCCAATAGGACAAACCAGGTCTGGAGGAGACCTGCGGGCAAAATGGGTCCTTTTGGGGATGGCGGAAAGTGAGACACCTGGAATCCCCCAACCAAACACCCAACAGGGAGAAAGAGAGTCAGGGACTGGGGGTGGGCTGTGTGTGCAGAGGCTGACCCAGCTGTAAGGCAGGAGTGGCCCCCAGCCTTCCTGACCTTCAGCACTTACAATCAGCTTCTTGGTGGAGGCAGGAGGCATGCTGGTGTCGTCAACTTGGAGAACAGGATTTACTTCTGTTTTTGCTTTTCAGTCTTTAAGAAACACTTTAATCAAGGAATATATTAACATAGTACAAGAAGTACAAAAAGGGCCCAGCACGAGATGTAAATGCCCCTTTTGCCCTTCACCCTCTCACCCTTCACCTCAAGGGGCCTGTTTCCTTCCTAGACACAATCTCCTACACCAGTTTCCTGAACAGCCTTCCAGATACTGAAGTATGCAGATTTTGTTGTCACTGTTACACAGTCAGCAGCATCCTGCATACACTGTTCTGCTTCTTGCTTTTCTCTTTAAATCTTGAATACCCTTCCATATGAATTCCCATAGGGTTATCAAGTATTCCTTGGTATATATGGACCAGATATATTTAAGCAGCTCTCTATTGATGGACATTTAAATTGTGTCCGATTTTTCTCAATTGTAAATAATCCTGCCTTAAGCGTCTTTGAATACATTTCAGAATACCTTTAGGAACATTTCCTATGAGCAGATCTAATTGCCGTGTCAAAAAGTATAGGCATTTTCTATTTTGAGACAGACTGCCAGTTTCCCACAGAGGCTACCAAAGAGGTTGTCTGTCCTACCACAGTGTCTGAGACGGGCTGTTTCTCCACACTTCCCTCCGTCACAGACTTTCCTGGTTTTAGCACTGAAGGTCCCATGTCCTCAGCGCAGGAAAACAGGGACAATTGGCCACCCTATATAGTGCTTTTAGCCATTTTTAAATGTACTTCTGAATATATAAATAAGGATAGCCCTGGCTGGTATGGCTCAGTGGGTTAAGCCCTGGCCTTTGAGCTGAAAGGTTGCTGGCTCGATTCCCAGTCAGGGCACATGCCTGGGTTACAGGCCAGGTCCCCAGTTGAGGGAATGTGAGCGGCAACCAATCAATGTGTCTCTCCCTTTCTTTCTCCCTCACTTCACCTTGCTCTAAAATAAATAAATAAATAATCTTTAAATGAAAATAGATTAGATTATACTGTGGTTTTAAAAACTCAGTGTCTTAAAGAAAAAAAAGTTTATTTCCTAGCCAGGCAAAGTCCAGGAGACTCTCCAAGGTAACTGTCCTTTCCAGGAATTTGCGATATCACAGCACTTTCATGTGGACACAAGCTTCCGTGACATTTCTTTGACCTCACTTCTGGGCCAAAGCGAGTCACAAGGCCATGCTTACAGGCACTCGCTGTGTGCTTAGAAGCAGAAAGCTGAATATTCATGAGCTGTAGTGGTAATTCCTACTACAATGAATGTGATAGGTAAAAAAAAAAAAGGGTGGGGGGGATCTCCATATGCTTTTAATGAGCATTTCTGAGTATTTGCTAACTCTTTTTTCCTGCAGGAAATGAAAGTATTGAAGCTTCAGTGGAAAAATTGGAAATCAATGTGGATAAAATCTTTGAGAATGAAAAGAAAAAAGTCATGAGGATCATTAGGCATTGTGAGTTACCTTGTGCCCTGACACTTCTGACTGTCCCCAAGCCAGAAGTCATTTGTTTAGTAGGAATCCAGCCTGCCCCCACCCCCATCCCTGTCCATTTTCTGGGCTGGATGGTTGGAGACAGCCCATGGCTTTGAGGTGTGCTCGTGACCAGCCCAGGCTTCTTTCCATGGAGTAGCATTTGAAGGGAACTTCTTGACCAGCAAGGTATCGTCTAGCACCTATGTGCTGACAATTTCCTCTAATAGCCTCAAAGCTTCATTTGCTGAATTTCTGAGAACAAATTCAAATCAGATTTAAAATATTCCTTCATCACTCTGTATCCGACAGATGTGTATCTGCTTTATGCCAGAGCCTTGTGCCTAGAGAAAAGCAAAATGCAGAGAAAGACCCTGCCTTTCAGAAGCCCACAGCCACAGGGCAGGGGAAAGGAGAGGAAAGGGAGACATGTGAACACACACCTGCAGTGGAATTACTGAGCTTGAAGTGTGTATTCAATTGGAATTGAAATGACTAGACACAATGCTAAATGTTCAAGTGCCAAGTTCAAGTGGCAGTAGGAGTGAGAACTCCAAAATGAGAGAGATGGATTGAGATGGAGGTTTAGGCTGAAGAGATGGGATTTGAAGAGGAGGGAAAGGAAAAGCATGATATATTTTTGATAACTATCCAGTGCTTCTACTGGTCGCTCAGAGGCACTGGAACCTCTCCCCCAGGATGAGTCAATCACAGAAGCTCTGAGGTTGCTCCAGGCCAGCTTTGCTTCATGGCATAGAGCTTCCCACTCACACGTTTACTGAGACACCTCTTCCCATAGGATACCTTCCTCAGCTCATTGACTCTTTATTTCCTTCAGTCATATGGTCAGACTTACAGAAATTCATAGAGAAGATCCCGGAATATCAAACCAAGGAGATTAAGAAGGAAGAGATTTCAGAAGTCGATGGGATCCCGCTAAGGGAAAATGAATTCAGCAAAGTTTTTAAAGGAAAATACTACCAATCTTCAGTGGCCATAAAAGTATTCAAAAACATCCAGGCCAGAAACATTGGGTGAGTCATTTTGTATAGTTCTCTCGTGTATCATTCCACTTCCTCCCCATAACTCCCCAAGGGGAGAAGCACACTGTCTCAATTTTCAGGTGGGGGAACCGTGCCCCAAAGGGTTACATGACTTGCCCTCTATTCTTAAGGAGCAGAGCCCAAACTTAAATGCATGACTTCCTTCAGTTCCACAATCTTTTCTCTTTTATTCATGAATTTAGTTATTTAAAAAAATTTAGTCCCGTCCATTTCTGTTTCTCAGTTCCCCATCCCCTTCACAGACAATACAGTATGTTTTGTTTGCATGTGTTTTTGCAAAACATAGGTTATTATATGCGCGTGAATTTTTAACTTTCACAAATGGCAGTATTATAAGTCTATTGCCTACTATTCTTGCATTTTTCACTCAGCATCACGGAACATGTATTATACTTGTAGCCCTTTCCTCCTGACTGCCGACTGGCATAGATCCATATTGTACCTATTTTTCCAATGATGGAACCCAACCAATTTCTAACTTTCTTCCACTAAAAAGAATACTCCTGTAATTACCCTTTTATGGACCTGTATAAGCATTTCTTTGGGCTGTGTTGCCAGGAGAGGAACCAATGGATCACAGGGCATGTGTATGTGAAATTGACTGAGTGCTTCCAGGTCAGTCTTCAGGATGGGTGGTACAGGCCCATGCTCCATCCAGCACTATTTGAGAGCTCCATGGTTACACGTCTCCGTGTACCCTTGGTGTTAGCCAGCTTTCTAATTTTTGCCATCCTTATGGTTATAAAGTAACATCTTGTAGTTATTTTAATTTGCATTTCTGTTTACTAATGAATTTGAACATTTATTCATATGCCTTAGCTATTTGGGCTTCCACTTCTCTGTATTGCCTGTTTACATCCTCTGCCCTTCTTTCTGTCACAGTCACCATTTTTATCAATTTGAAGATCCTCATATATTGTGGAAATTAATTATTTATAAGCTTTAGATATTGCAAAGGTCATCATATTTCCTATACCTTAATTTTGTCGGTGGTGTCCCTCAACAGACATCTTAAATTTTGATGTTATTGGTTCAACCAAAGTTTTTTTATTTGCATTCTTGAGGTGCCCTTCCCCACCCCCAGGTGTTCTAGATTTCTCTGTGAACTTTGCAGTTTTATCTTTGCCATTTAGGCTTTCATCCTCCTGGAATCGCCTTTGTATGTCCTATTACATAGGGCCTAGTTTTGTTTTTATCTGTACGCAGTGAGTCCATTTTCTCTACACCATCTAGTAAATGTTCTTCTCCATTGATTTCTGGTGCCACATTTATTGTTTGTTAAGTTTCTGTTTAGACAACGGATCTGGCTTTGACCTCTCTATTGTATTCCACTGGTCACTTTGTCTTTGCACCCACAACCCTGTGTTTTGTTCTGTTTTGTTTTATTATGACTTTGTCGTAATTCTCATTATCTAGTCCTCTTCTTGACCCTTCTTTCTCAAGTTGACTAAGCTAAATAAGTAACACATTCCTCAATGTACACATTGAAATTTTGATTAGGATAGTATTTTTAAATAATTTTATTGAAATATCATTTACATACCATAAGATTCACCCATTTAAAGTGTATACTTCAATAGCTTTTAATATATTGTTATAAAGTGATTTTAGAACATTTCTGTCATCCCAGAAAGAAACCCTGTGCCATTAGCAGTCACTCCCCATATGTTTTCACCCCCATCACCTCTGGCCCTAGACAACTACTAATCTACTTTCCATCTATATGGATGTGCTTGTTCTTTTTAAAATAATTTTTTAGATTTTATTTATTATTATTTATTTTTAGAGAGGGAGGAAGGGAATGAGAAAGGGAGAACAACATCGATGTGCAAGAGAAACATCACGATCAGCTGCCTACAGCCCAAGCATGCACCCTAACTGGGAGTCCAACCGGTGACCTCTTAGTTTGCAGGCTGACACTCAGTCCCCTGAGACACACCAGCCAGGGCTGGATTTGCTTGTTCTTGATATTTCATATAAATGGAATAATATGGTATGTGACCTAGCTCCTTTCACCTAGCATGATAATCCCAAGGTAAATTTATGTTGTAGCATGTATCATACATGGTAATTCTGCCACCAAACATCTTAGGGGTTCCACACTTTGCCGTCAGTGACCAAACTCATCGCAGCACCAGTTCTCACCCCAGGAGATGCTGCCTAGCCCTCAGGTCCCCCCCACACACAGGTGGTCCCTACACTAAATGCTCTCCAAAGGACCTTTCAGTCCTGGAATCCTAATTGTCCTTTTTATCCCCACAGAGAAGTGAGGGACACTTTCAATAAAGAGATCAGAACCATGAAGAAGTTTGATTCTCCTAACATCCTGCGTATATTTGGGATTTGCATTGATGAAACAGGTGAGGAGTGCTTCTGGGTTTGGTCCTCCTTTTGTGGTCTGTCATATATCTTCCATGTTAGAACGCATCGCATTTTTAAAGAACAGCTAAAAGAGTGGAATTTACATGGTGTTGTTATTATTAGTGTTAATTTTTTTTATATCCCATGGTGTAGGTTCCTACCCCCTTCCAGGAAAGGAGGGCTTGAATTTGGCTTCAGCCCAAGGGCTAAACATTAGTTTGCACTAATGTGGCCACATCTTTTCCTACCAGTCCACTGGCAACCCAGGGAGGTCTTGTTCAGATGCTGGCCTGAGTGATGGGTGCATTTTGTTGCAATAAAACATTATAAAGCTGACTCACCAGAATAAGGAATCTACCCTTGATCATCATTAGTGTAGATCAAACCTAAAATTTCAGTTGATCTGCCCCTTTACCAAGAACCTCATGCATCAGGTTCTTTTTAATCTTTTTTTAATGTGGCTGTGTTCTGTCTCATAACATGTCCTCTCCTGTGGGTTATGTTTTGTTGCTCTTGCCTATAGAGGGGACACAGCAACTCCTGTTTTATCCCTTCTAGAAGTTTCTCCACAGCCTCAGGGGACTAAAGGAAAACTTCCAGTGATGTCTGTCACCCTGGGTGGCAGGTGAGGTGACTGACCCATTTTTGTGTGTGGGTTCTTGTATCTCAGGCCCACAACCTGGGACCTGTGCTCTGGTCTGACCTCCCCTCACCAGCCCCCGTGGTATGTGCATCATTCATTCCTTCCACACACATTTATGAAGTTCTTTGTGAGCACTGTGTGAACAAAACAGATCCTGCCCCCTGGGCGCTTACACCTGAGTGGGGGAGGCATGACAGATAACTAAGAGAAATGTATAATCACGACGTGCCACATATGACAAAGAAGAGGTGTGGGAACTCTGTGGATACTGGACCCATTCAATGAGGTCAAGATGCAGACTGTGTGAGAAGGGGGCAGAAGGTGGGAGAGCAATGGTGTGGAGCTGAGTCTGTCTCTGTAGAGGCAGGGGGAGATGGATGCAGAGTAAGGACCTCTCGATGGGGTTGATCTTCTTTCCTTCAGTGACCCCACCTCAATTCTCCATGGTCATGGAGTACTGTGAGCTCGGGACCCTGAGGGAGCTGCTGGATCGGAACATGGACCTCAGTTTTGCTAAGCGCATCGTCCTGGTCATAGGAGCAGCCAGAGGCTTATTCAGGTACCACGTGGGTTGAAAGCTGCCAGGACGAACAAAATGAGTCTGCCTCCCTTACTGACAGTCCCAGAGATGGTGAGAGAACAGGCCGGAAGTCCCAGGTAGTCTCTGCTTCCTTGAGTTGTATTGTGACTTAGTTTGATTAGAATACCCTAGACAGGAGAGGGAAGGGACGCTTGACCCAGTGAAGCACGGGATTACACCACTGAACGCTGCTCTTGTGGAGTTGGACAGGCCTTACTCTTAAGTAAGGCCTTACTCACTATTGCCAGATTTAGCAAAGAGAAATACAAGATGCTCAATTAAACTTGAATTTCATATAATCAATAGTGATTGTATATCCCAAATATTACATAAGACATACTTTTACTAAAATTTCAGATAACATAAAATAATTTTTAGTAGAAGTATGTCCCAGGCAATTTTGAGACATACTTATGCTAAAAAAAAATCATTATCAAAACTTCAAAATCAACTGGGTGTCCTTTATTTTATCTGGCCACTCACCCTACTCTTACATGCAGATCCTATGGTTTCTGTGGGGGGACCCAGGGATTCCCCATAGGTCAGTCATTCACAAGCTTTCATGATTTTTACCATATTCACAATTCTGCCAGTATTATTTCCTTAATAATGTCCTTAAATTAGCTCACTATTAAAAAAACCAAATAAAAGAAAAGGACACTTTCTATTACTATCATAAATCCAAAACCAGAATCACCTGCCACAAATAGGTGACCATAACTGAAATCAAAACAATGTTACTAAATTCTGTCTGGATAATGCTGCCTGCCAGTCTATAGTTCAGGCCTACACTTCCTTTGTACAGAGGAGATTTAGAGAGGTATTAACGACACCTGACGCCAAACAGAGACTCCCTCCTTAATGTAATCTGAACTTAAAAGGAGAATAGTTTTCTTACTATGTCATCTTGCATACCACATAGTCCGTACTCTTGCAAATATAGCCCTAGCTATTTATTTTATATATAATTAATAACTAATGTTAATTAATGATTAATGTTAACTCAATTCCCTGCACTGGTGAGTTTCTGAGAAGTAATTTGGGGCTGTAGTGGGTGCTGGTAGTGCACCATCTAGCTGGCCTCACATCCTTCTAAGCAGCTCTGCACACTCACCCCCCATCTGGCTTTCTTTGCTGTTTACAGCTCCCAGCTGCCATCTACAGATAATTTCTGTGGGCACTGGAGCCCCTTCGCCCTTCTAGATAGCTAAAAGTGTCTAGGAGTTTGTACCCACCTGTCCCTGCCCTTCTCCTCCTTGTCCCGTCGGTGGACAAAGAGCTACCCATGAGGAAGTCATGGTACTGATCAGCCTCATCATCATGGTAATGACTGTCAGGACCCACAGGAAGGTCTGTGCAAAGGTCTCTAATGCTCCCTGCCTTTGGTTGTGTCAGGCTGCACCATTCAGAAACCCCGCAACTCCACAGAAGCATCAAGAGCACAAACTTTCTGGTAACCAGCAGCTACCAAGTGAAGGTGAGCATGGCCTTCCAGGGGTCTCTTTGAGTTTGGCTTCTGGGATTCTTTGGTGCTGGGGGAGGGACACCTATTTCCCAGAAAGGCTGTGCCTCCTTGATTCTCTGCCTTACCCTTAGAACTGAACTCAAATGTTTCCCTGCCTGGACAGCTTTCCATGTGTCCACCACAGGACAGATTCAATCCTGCCTGCTGGTATAATGCCTGTCTTCCTTCACCACCCACTTAGCAGGGATGGGCTAAGAGTCCTTTCCCTTTCGACGCCTGGACACCACTTCTACGTTCCTCCAATATGCACCAGGGGGTCTTCTCAGGTCCAGCTGGGCCCACAGGACTAACACAAGGCCACCCTTTGCATTTGGAATCACTTAGAAGGTTACTGTGCAGGAAGCAGAGCTTGCCAGCAGGGCAGCTGAGAGAGTCCCCACAGGTATCCAGGAGATATTCTCTCAGCCCCGCCCCAGGTGCTAGATAAAGGCACTGTCCTCGGGTGGCTGTGGGGCCCTCTAGCCCTAGAAGCCTCATGACCCATAGAAGTCACTATTATCTTATAACAACTCCTCAGGCATATCTTCAAGTGTCCCCACAAGGGACACTCCAGTTATAGAGGCTCCACAAGGCCCAGCATCTCTATCAGCTCTTTATTGTCCCCATACCCACTGTCCATAAGCATTTGCCAATTAGTGACCATTTTTTGTCCTCAACAATATTACTTAGGAGCATAGGTGACGGTCTGCCTTTATCAGGTTCCCAGGGGACTGGAACTAAAAAGTCCGATTCTCATACAGAAGAGGAAGGGCTTCATTCAATGTCTACAATTCCCAAATGCTAAAAGAATATTTATTTTCTTTGTCATCCATAGATGGCTTTCTTCCAGCCTTATGAATGTCAGGGATAGCCCTCAAAAACAGAAGACAGGTCTTTTCTGCCTCTCATGCCTTTCCTCCTCGCAGTGTGATATACGTGCTCCACAAGCACCGTGTTTACATCACTCATGGTCCTCATCCCGCCTGACTACAACGTGTGCTGTTCAGCCTTTCGTCTCTGGTATCATGGTGCCAGATGTCAGAGGATGTCAGTGCTCCGTAGACATGGCACAGAAAGGAGACAAACCCTCTGAATGTCTTATCCTTTTCCTGACCTTGCCCCTAGATTTGCACATCTGAGTTCAGGGCTGGCAGCCCTCTGCACACTGGTGGTACTAATGACAGGTGTGCACAGAGCAAGGACATCTGCTCCCATTAATTATGTTATTGCTCTTTAAGAGCATGACCTTGGCTATGCAGGATCAATGGGGGTTACTCACAGTTGTTGTGTAAAACCCAAAAGAACAGGCTGGCTCTTTCGTAGGGTCAGATAGAACAGAGGGGATGCCCCTATGAGATTTTTTCATCCGGTTCTGAGAGAAAGTAAGCCATGTGGCTCTGTGCACCTCTGTCCGCCCTCACTTAGTGGAGCTGAGTCTTCACGTGAACACAGTAATACCAGAACTACAACTTCCCAAGTCTTACAGGGGCTCTATAACAGTGATCTAAAGTAATCCTCACCACCCCATATTATGGAGAAAACTCTTTGTGTTTCTTTTGGTCAGTGTACCCTAATGCCATATTTTGCTGCATATAATGCACATGTTTTTGCCCAAATTTTTGAGGGAAAAGGAAGGATGCACATTATACATGGGTAGTACTAGTTCTGTATCTATATAAATATTTTTCGTTCTTTTATTTATGCTTATGTATTAATAGTGTAGCTCTAGAAAGCCATAACAATATCCATATGCAAAGTAATACCCTGGAATATGAGTTTTGTTTCTAAATATAAATAAATAATTGAATTAAAAAATTAAAACAAAAGATTTTTTTCCTGAAAGTTTGGGCCAAAAATATAGGTGTGCATTATACACGGGAAAATACAGTACACTGAACCCATAATGCCAGCCAGTAGGGTAGCCACACAGACATAAGACTCCACTGGAGATACTTCTCGAGGTTAAAAGAACATCTGATGGCAGTCGCATGTGGCACCAACCTCTCGCCCACTACCCCCACCCCAAGACTGGTGTTTCCTTCCATCTCCTTCTATTCACCTCTCTACTTTAGCTTTCAGGATTTGAGCTGAACAAAACTAAGACTTCCATCAGTAGTGCAACCAAGAAAAAAGCACAGAGAAGCGGTTCCTCAGCATATGTCTCGCCTGAAAGACTGAAAAATGTGTATAATAAATATGACATAAAGGCTGAAATATACAGGTATGCTCTTGTTCTGGCACAGACTCTAGCTCAGATGAACAGGACAGAAAAGTCCAAGTTAAACTCCACATCCAAGGACCATCATAATCTAGTCTATTGAGTGGAATTGGGTGGCAATCAGAAAGTTCACTGAAGTTTCAAGAAATGGCTAAGGGGTGTGGAAAAAACAGAAACACGATGATTGCTCAGTTTCTTGGTTTTCTTTCAGCTTTGGAATTGTCCTCTGGGAAATTGTCACTGGGAAGATCCCATTTGAAGGTAACCAGTGTGAAGGCTAGCTCAGGTGGTGCTGGGATAAGGTCCCTTTCCAACAGACTAGAAAATCCCTGTCAGTGCTGTTCTGGGTGCTTTATTCTCCAACATGGGCACTGCCTGGGCCGGTCAATGAAGTCATTAGAAGCTCTCATTTCTTCAGTACTCAAAGTCCCTCATCTGATGTCAGCCACCATCATCCAGAGGGACGTGTGAGTGCCAGAGCAATGCGTAAGCCTCCAATCCTGTTGTTTCCATACCAGGCTGTGACTCTGAGAAAATCTACCAGCTGGTGGCTGTGGACCAGTACCAGGAGCCACTGGGTGAAGAGTGCCCTTTGGAGTTGCAGGAGATCATTGATGATTGTCGGGCATATGAGCCCTGCAGGCGTCCCTCTGTTAGAGGTAGGCTCCTCTCTGCTCTAAAGAACATGACCCACATGTGTTCTAGATTTGTGAAAGATTTCCTTTGTGGTCCACAGCAGGGATGATTTTGTCCCTCCGGGAACATGTGGCAATGTCTAGAGATATTTTTGGTTGTCACAGCTCAGGGGAGATGGGGTGGGGTGGGGCATACTACTGGCGTCTAGTAGATAGATGCTATTCAACATCCTATAATGCAGAAGACAGCCTCCTACAACAAAGAATTCTACAGCCCAAATGTCAACAGTACAGGACTTCAGCAGCCCTGTGCTAAGGGACATTGTTTAGTCTAAAGTGTGTTGGGAAGGTAGATTACTGCCCCCCACTTTTGTCTCCAGACCTCCCTCCCTCCCTTCCTTCCTGTTCTATGTTCCCTTACAACCCAGGGTCTGCCTGGTATTAGAGAATCTAATACCTGAGACCAATTCACATTAAGATGTGAATTTAGCCTTCCTTTTTATTTGAGTAGCTACTTGTATTTGAGAAGTTGACCAAGAAAGAGGGAACTTCGAATCACAAAGACATGAATGTAGATGATGATTTAGCCTCCAGCTGGACCAAAGGGAGTATAGTTTCTACCCTACTGTGCAGTGTGGAAACATCTTTGTGCTTCTAGCTTGGCCTTCAGTTCTCTCCTCTTATCTAACGCTCTGTTCATTCATTCACAGAAATCTTAGAGAAACTGTCTAACTTTTATAAAGCTGAGGATTGAAACGGAAACTAAGGAGTCCCTGAACAAGAAGCTGGAAGAGGTGCAAGCCGGGCATCTTCCTCTCCCCATCCATTGGCATGAGTTATTTGTGGGCGCAGGAAGGCAGCGCTTCTCTGTCACAAATAGAAAACAGTTCCAGTCATGTAGAGCATATGCCCCTCCAAATGATATTGTCAAAAATACACCTCTGATAGTAACTGTGATATGTTTTATAAAAACGTATCTCTCTTGCCCTGACTGTTGTGGCTCAGTTAGTGGGGCATTATCCAGCAAAGCAAAAGGTTGTTGGTTCAGTTCCCAGTCAGGGCACGTGCCTGGGCTAAGTCCCCAGCTGGGGCATGTACCAGAGACAACTGATTGGTGCTTCTCTTTCATATCGATGTTTCTCTCCCTCCCTCTTTCTCCCTCCCTTCCCTTCTTTTTCAAAATAAATAAAGTTCTTTTTAAAAAGTATTTCCCACTGTATCCACACCTCTTGGCACTGTGACTTTGCAGCTCTTCCTATCACAAGGTGGAGTCTGTCTATTCATGAAACTAATGTATTATTGTACATTAATTATACTTCTATTGAAGAGAAATACTCTTTCTTACAAATATTTATAAATGACTGAATTATAAAACTGGCATTGGATTCAAAATAATCCAGGGGGAGGGGAATAATTGTAAAGAAAATGTTAAAGTAAGATTAGCTATGACTTGCTAACTGTTGAATCTGGATGATGGGTACATCATGGTTTATATGCTCTTCTCTTCTCAATATGCTTAAAACTTTCCACAAGTGGTTTTTTTAAATGAAAACAAAGTGGAGTCCACTTCCTCACCATTTGAATTTTGGCTGGCACTGTGACTGGCTTTGTCCAGTAAAAATGTAGAAGCGATGGCGTGCCTGTTCCAAGAAGAGGCTTCAAGAGATCTTACAAATCTCCCCTCCGTGCCTTGCGTCCCTACCCAGACATGAACCGGGCTGGTATGCTGGAGGATGCGGGACCACATGGACCAGAGATAACCTGTCCCAGCTGAGGTCACACTAGACCACCTGGCCCAGTAGTTGGGCCAGCAACTGACCCAGTCACACTCTGAGTGAGTCAAGATGAGAAGAACCACAAAACTGAGCCATAGCAAACTGCTCATTAACACAATTATTATCTAAATAAATTATTATTGTATTAAGCCACTAAGTTTTGGGATGATTTGTTATACAATAGTGGTAACTGAGGAAACACTTTAATTCTTCCTCTTGCCTATTGAATGAAATATAAACTCCCTATTTGGATACCTATGGCCTTGTAGCTCTGCCCTAACCTTATTTCCAATATCAAGTCCCAGAGTTCTCCTATCAGATAGTACAACCTCTAATGCCTACAGTGTCTTCAGGGAAATCTTTGTGAGTCAGCTGAGCCTGGAGAGGACTTCAGTGAACAGATGAGCTTATTTAAGGACAGCCTCTGCTCAACTCCAGCCTTTTATCATGTAGGAATGAGATCCCAATGTTTCCAGAGCTTTCCATCTTGTCAAAAGAAGCTGGAAATTCATATTTCTCTGTAAATTGCTCATGTTTTTAAAGGTTAGCATCTAATCAAAAAGTATTTTAATGTCATATAGGACAAACAAAACATACTAGTCTAGGAACTCCCAGATTTTAGTCTCTGCTAGATTCAAACCCCTATCTCCTGCATGTAGTCCTTTTGTCCTGAATTTTTACCTTAGCTCATTGTGTATGCCTTACATAGTATGCCTTACACTAACTCTACCTCTAAATATCAGCCCCCAGAACTCATCTCCATTAATTCAACAGAAAGAGTGACAGGTGTTCCAATCACTAAGGAGACACAATAAACAAAATACACTTGGAGCTTATATTTTAGTAATCATCTCTGGAGAATAAAATTATGGCTGATTTGTATTCTTTTATATCTCTCTCTTTTTTAACCTAGAACATGATTTTATAAATAAAAAAGTAGAATAAACATGGGCAGGTTGAACATTTAAAATGATTTTTAAATTTTATTTATTTATTTATTTATTTATTTATTTATTATTTAGAGAGAGGGGAAAGGAAGGAGAAAGAGATGGAGAGAAACATCCATCAGCTACCTCTCTCTTGCACCCCAACCAGGGACCAAACCCGCAACCTAGGCATGTGCCCTGACTGGGAATCAAGAATTGAACCAGTGACCCTTTGCTTTGCAGGATGACACCCAACCAACTGAGCTACACCAGTAGGGGCTAAAATGATTTTTTTTTCTAGCCCTGGCTAGTGTGGCTCAGTTGGTTGGAGTTGTCCTGCAACCAAAGTGTTATGGGTTTGATTCTAAGTCAGGACACATGCCTAGGTTTACAGGTCCCTGCCCCTCTCCAGCATTTATAAGATGTTTCTCTCTCCCCTTCTCTCTAAAAGCAATGCAAAAAAAGTCCTTGGGTAAGTATTAAAAATATTTAATATAAAAGCACTCTCCTCTAGTGCTTTTCACTAGGTTCTACTATTTTCTCTTCGAATCCTATGGTTGTTACTCTTGGACTTATAGTGAAAATCCTCCCTTGAAGATTAATTTTTCACCCTCTGGCAGACCTGGAGGCAGAGGTGGATTTACTGTGAAAGTAATAAAACCTAATATCCAGGGTCACTCACTTTACACAGGATATCTTCCAGGGCCCTGTACTTAATTTTTCCCTGCCACTTACTTATAAAAATTTTCAAATACACAGAAAAGTCAGTAGAATTATACTCTGGACACCCACCACCTAAATCTACAACAATTTACTCTATTTAGTTCATCACAAACTTATCAACCTATCCAGGACTCTTATCTACCCATTAATCCATCCTAACTTTTTTATGGATTTGAAAATTTCAAGCATCAATACACTTCATTCCAAAATAGTTCATTCAGCATTTATATTAAGCAAGTTTATTATTTGTTTATAGGGGTGTTTGGGGGATAAGCAGGTACATTTTCATGTTGTAAAATGCACAAGTATTAAATACTATTGAATGAGTTTTGACAAATGCCTACACGTGAATAACCCAAACTTCAACAAGGTAATGAACATTATCTTGATGCTGGGAAGTTCTATTATACCCATGCAATCAGCCCTTCTTCTCACTCCTGTCCCACAATTCTGATTTTTGAAAGCATTTTTTAGGTATAATTGTCACACAATGAACTACAGATTTGTAAAGTGTACAATTTGATGTTTTGATGTATACACCACCATAATCAAGACAATGAACATAATCATCAACTCCTAAAATTTTTCTCATGCTCCTCTGTAATCACGCCCTTTCACTCCTGATTGGTCATTATGGAACAGTTCTGACAGGGCAGGTCTTGAGACCTGCCTTATCCCTGGACATAAGCAAACAGAGCTTAGTGCAGGAAGCTCTTCTTGGTATATAGAATATGTGCGAAGCTCCTGTGAGCACACAGTAAGTCAGCTCTTATTATTTATAAAACTTGGTCCCTTGGTTGACCATGGGAATCCACCTCAGCAGGTAAATTCCTTCTCAGGATTCACATCAAATGAATCGCCTTAGGTTCCAGAAGTCAATAGGAAGGTTGGCATTTAAGTAATCAACCATAAAGATGTGAATTTCACCCTTAAAAGGAACACAACCAACACTTTTCCTTCTAACTATATATAACTTGTGGAAGTTGAAGACAAGACTATATATTTCTGGCTTTGTTTATTCTCTTTCTCTAAACATATTCTTTGAAAAAGAATGGCCATTAAGTGGATTATGAATTAATATTCTTTCAGAACCATCTATTAAGCATTCTGTATACATTCACTAAGCAGCCTTTTGTGTTGTCCAAATTCCTTTTACCCTAGGATATATTACCTATTTTTCATTTAAATTTTTTCAAAGAATATTCACTATTTGACAATGTACCTCTGTATCCATTAACATGGAAAGTCACTCAGGTATATTTTAAGACTAAGTCAAGATCCCATCTATATCTAAATTTAGACAGATGAAGATTCTAAACAGTTAATAATGACTTCTCTGGAGAGATTTTTTTGCCTCTATAATTTTCTAATTAAAATATTTTCCAATTGTTTTGCATTGAACATGTAGTACTTATGTAATAGTGAGAGTCACTCAAAATGTTTTATCCTCTACTCCATAATATACTCATTTACAAAAGAACATTCATTTCTCCTCATATTACCCATGCTAAAGCTCAGTACCTATAGCAAGAAAAAGAAAAAAAGTACAAATGTCAATTTGGTTTTGGTGACGGTTTGGGAGGAGAAAAACACTGAAAAGTCATTGTTTGGATTAGTCACGATTTTCAACTTTTTTTTTTTTGCTCTCCGCTGCTCCGTACCAATTCCATTGAAAATTGGCAGCTGAGTAAATAAAATTTTGGCAACGTGGTCTGTGCCAAGGGTTAGATTTTGGCGAGATTTCATCTTTCAGAGAGATAATACTTGAAAAATATTTGCCATTTAGTGATGTGAGGAGAGTTTAGTAGCAGGAAATTTATTGCAGTAGTTTAGGACTTAGATCGTGTAAGTAAAATTTTTTGCTTGCGTTCTTCAACCTCAAGGAAGCATATGGAGTGTATATCCTTTTAGGGATTCTACCAACGGGATTGTCCCACGTCTCTGTATAGGCTCTGATTTCAGGGGGCAATATTTTAAAATAATTGGATTAGCTACCAGCCTTTGGATAAAGATAGTTCCTTTACTAAATAGGAGCCACAGTTTTATTTATTCTTTTTAAATATTTTATTCATGTATAGGCGTGAAAGGGAGAAAAAGAGCAGAAACATGGGTGGATTGACTCTCCCACGCTCCCAAAGGGTCCCGCCTGCGTGCCCTGCCTGGGAAACGTGGGGACCTTTTGGTTCGCAGGACTGAGCCACAACAGCCAGAGCAGAAGCCATAGTTTTAATACTTGCATCTTACTTTCAAAATGTACCGAGAAACCTTTTTCTTACTTCTCTTCCCCCGCCAGAAAGTTCAAATAAAGAGCGGTAAAACCCTTCCCCCTCCCTTCTGTTTGGGAGCTGAACGCTAGATGACAGACTACATCTTTTTACCAATTGTTTGAGTTTTCCACGCGCGATCCCGCCTAGTCAGTTTGCGACGGGATAGCCAATGAGAGCACCGCTCTTTCAGCCAACGGCAACCAAAGGAATAAGAAGAGACATTATTGGTCAACGGCTGGGACTGCTGCCCAATAGGAGCAAGCTGTGGCCGCGACTAAGGCGGGCAGCTTGAGCTGCTGGGGACGAGCGGTTGGAACCAGTCCTGGGACTGCAGGTCTGCAGAAGGATCGGTTCTTCCAGCGGTTGGCTCGTGAGCCCGACAGCGTTTCTCCGGCCGCAGGTGAGGAAGGTGCTTACCTCCCCCAGGTTTTGCGCTTCTGGCTCTGGGATAACTTCCCGGGCTTGGTCCCTAGACACGAGGCATAGGGACACCCCAGTGGCACCTCGCGGCCTGAGGAGGTCCGGCCGTTCTGGGCGGCCTTAACCGCCCAAGCTGTGGCTCCCGAACTTGGCGCTTTTTCGGGGTTTCTGAGAGGGCGGAGGTCGGGTTGAGGGGGCGGGGGAGGCAGGAAGTTGGAGTGATCCCGGAAGTTGCAGAGTTGGGAGGCCATTTCGCCGCAGGCGGGAGGCGACTTCGTGGCCGTGGCTGGCTGGAGTCGCAAGGTTGCCCAGCCACTCTTCGGGAGCGGATTCTCAGACTTCCCTTTTACAAGTAACTGCTATCCTTTTGAGTACTCGTTAGTTGCATCACTTAGGAGTTAACTTTTTAGTTTTAATCCAGCTTTACCTCACAGCAATACTGCGACGGACAAACATTTATCCCCATTTTTATGTGAACTTGTTGAACAGTCTAGGAAACCCACCTAAGGTTCCACAGGTAGGTAAGATCGACGGAGCAAGCATTTGAGCCGAGGTCGGCCAGACTCCTTGGTACCGTTTTTTATTTTGTTAATTGGGTGCCATCGCGTCCCTGCTGGTTGTGGACATTGAAATGTGAGTAACAAGCTTGGTAAGATGACTAGTGGGAAGTTAACCTTTGCAGCGCCAACTCATAACACAGAGAGAAAAATCGAGGACAAGGTTGCTCAGGGCTTGGGGAGACTTGCTCACGGTATTTTGTTCGCTGCCAGCGATTTTTCAACTGTTGTGCGGCAAAAAATTTTAAGCATGCAATACCTAAGTTCTGTCAGGTGTGGTTCAGCTGCTTGGAACGTTATCCAGGAACTGAGAAGTTGCGAGGTTCGAATCCTGGTCAGGCCACATAGCCAGGTTTCTGGTTCCATCCATGATCCCTCTCCTGTGGAAGGCAACCCCTTGATCTTTCTCTCTCTTCCTCTCTTTCTAAAACAAGGAATGAAAAAATGGCTTGGGTGAAGATTAAAAACAAACAAAATCATGCAGTAGCTGACTATTTGGTCTGAGGCACTGACCTCTTTTCCCTTAGATTGCCCAAAAAATGACACCAGCCAACACAATAGCTGTCCAATATGAATAAGTCAAAATTATACTGATTTTTTGGGTCAGATTGGCACGCATATAAATATTTTGGGGGGATGCTAAAAAATTTTAGTAGTTATTTTATGAGCACCATGAGATAAAAAGGGTTGAAAATTGCTGCTCTAGGCACCTCGTGGTTACCCCAAGGGCTGGAGGGATCAACATTTCCTCACGTTGGGAAGATTTGTTCCAGGCCTGCACTGTTACATAGAACTTTATGCCAGGATGAAAAGGTTCTATATCTCTGCTATGTCTGTAGCTCTGTATATTAGGGGCTGTGTTCTCACTTGTTGGGTTTTGGTTTTTGGGGGGACGGGGTTTAAGGTGTATGGTATTTAGCATCTGCTATGTAGTTGAATTGTGGAAAATAAAAGTGATGAAGCTGATGGATTCATCTTTGGGTTTTCCTGTTCTGATCAGAATTGGTTGCTGTCTAATAAGAACTGACATATGATAGGAGAAAATAATTTTTTAATATTTAGCTATACTGAAAAGTTCAGAGAATAATTTTTAAAAGACCTGTGCATTCACCATCCGGATATAACAAATCTTGGACTTTCCCTTTTGATATAATTACTCTTTTTTTTTTTAACCCTCACCCCTGAACATGCTCATTGATTTTATGGGCAGGGTGGGGGGGACATCAAGGATTGGTTGCCTATCAGTGCAGGTCCCAATCGGTGTTGGAACCCACAACCCAGGTTTGTGCCCAGACCAGGAATTGAACCTGTGAGTTTTTAGTTTATGATGCTCCAACCAACTGAGCCACACTGGCCAGGCGCTTTGGTTATTGTATGTGTGTGTTGTTGTTTGTCTTTTTAAGAAATAAAAATTAGCCTCGGCTGGTGTAGCTCAGTGGATTGAGCATGGGTCTGTGAATCAAAGGGTTGCTGGTTTGATTATCCAGTCGGGGCTCATGCCTGGGTTGCAGGCCAGGTCCCCAGTGGGAGCGTGTGGGGGCAATCACACATTGATGTTTCTCTCTCTTTCTCCTTACCTTCCCCTCTCTCTAAAAATAAATAAATATCTTTTAAAATATATTTTAAAAAAGAGAAAAAATAAAAATTACACACACAGCTGAAGCTTCATGTGCCCCCCATTTGATATTCCAAGTTCATATAACATGATTTTGCATGTTTTTCAGTGTCCTAAAAATGCAATTGTAGTGGATTTGTGTGCAACCTGCTTTTTTTTTGAGGAAATTTTAATGTATTGAGATTCTTATTTGGGAGAGAGCTTATGATTATATCTTGATCTGAGGTTTTGTTCTACTTCATTCTTCACTTTTGTGCATTCTTTCTGGTACTTCAGTCAGATTTTCTGGCTTGATCTTTTAATTTTATTATTGTCTTAATTGGCTGTCCTTTCATTCTGTTTTCTGAGTTATTGCACTTTATCTTCCACTCCTATTAAATTTTTTTATTTCACTTACCATTTTTCATTTCAAAGGACTCTTGATTTGTCCTTTTTCCCCCCTAGCATTCTTGTAAGTTTGAAAACATTTTTTGTCCTTCTTGCGTTGTCTTACTTTCTTTTCTCTGAATTTCTTCTGCTGTCTGTTTTAGTCTCCCTCGTCTTGGAGGCTTTCCTCAGACGTCATTTGGTCCTTGGCTATTTGTTTATTTACTTACTTTTTTAAGGAGAGACCTCCGGAAACCTGATTGGAAGATCTGTGTGAGTGGCTGAACCTTACCACCCACTGGGCTTTTACTGTTAGATATATGGACAGAGACCTACCCATTTTCTTGGGGGATTCACAACTATGAGTATTAATAGATCTTTTTTCCTTGAGTTGTTTTTCTCTAGAGAACAATTCTCCAATCTTCTGCCCTGGGGCATAGAGAATGTACATGAACCAGAGCATTGTGTCCAGGATTTGTACAGGTGGAGAAGCTGGGTAGAAGAATTGGAACTTCGTCACACTCTTCAGTTTGTAGACTTTACTTAACTCCTTGTTTTCACTGCTGTGCTACCCTTCATGTTGATTTTTTTAATGTTATTTTTCAATTTCAGATTTCATTCAGTATTACTTTTGTATTAGTTTCAGTTGTACAGAATAGTGGTTAGACAATTTTGTCATACATAATGTGTTCCCCCTGATATTTCCAGTAGACACCTGGAGCCATGCAGTTACTACAGTGTTAATTGACTGTGTTCCCTCTACATTCCTGTGACTATTATATAGCAACCAGTTTATACCTTTTTTAAAAAAAGATTTTATTTATTTTTAGAAGGGAAGGGAGAGAAGGAAACATCAATGTGTGGCTGCCTCTGGTGCACCCCTTACTGGGGGGGACCTGGCCCTTAACCCAGGCATGTGCCTTGACTGGGAATCAAACTGGTAACCCTTTGGTTTTCAGGCCTCCCCTCAGTCCACAGAGTCACACCAGCCATGGCCCAATTTGTACTTCTTATTCACTTCAACTTTTCCACTCACTCCCCCAAATTTCCTCTCCTCTGGCAACCATCAGTTTGTTCTTTGCATCTGTTGATGCTATTTCAGTTTTGTTTGTTTATTTTGTTCTTTATATTCCATATATAAGTGAAATCATACAGTATTTGTCTTTCTCTGATTGTCCTGTTTCACTTAGCACAACACATTCTAGGTCCATCCATGCTGTCATAAGTAGTAAGATCTTACTCTTTTCGTGACTGAGTAATACTTTGTTGTGTATATGTACCACAGCTTTTCTATCTGCTTGTCTGTTGATGAGTAGTTGGGGGTTGCTTTTATATCTTAGCTATTGTAAATAATGCTGTAATGAACATAGGCGGGCACATGTTCTTTTTGAATCAGTGTTTTAGGTTTCTTCAAATATATATATATACATACATAAGTGGGATTCCTGGGTCATAAGGCAGTTCCCATTTTTAATTTTTGAGGATCCTTTATACTTTTTTCCATAGTGGTTGCACCATTCTGCCCCTAGTGCTGCTTTTAAGCCTGTCTGGTTTAAGCCTCCAGTTTTCCTATAGAATGGGGTGAAGAGGTTTTTGTTTGCTTGGTGGCTGGCTTTTTTGTTTGATTAGGAGACAGGTTAACTTACACACTTTCAACCAATCCTTTTCAACTCCATCTTTCAACAGTGCCTTCTGTGGTACTTGGTTTCTACAGTCCCCTCGGTGGTAATCAGCTTGTTGCTCAAGAGCACTCAGTTTCCCCTCTTTGCAGGCACTTGAGTTTCATCTTTTCAGGTCTACTATGAAGTTACTTGTTATCAGTCCAAAACACTGATTTACATATCTTATATCCTATTTTTTCTTCCTTTGTGTTTATAAGTTTTTTTTTCTTTTTCTTTAATGACTTTTTTTTTTGAGGGGAGGGAAGTCACATTCATAGGTTTTCAGGAATGACTAAAGAGAGAAAACACATGTGCTTCATCCACCCTGTTTATTGGAATTCCCTACATTCACTCTGTCCAGTCTGGTCTCTGGACTGGGGGAATGATTTGGGGGAAACTGCTCTTTTCTAGGTTATCTGTCATTTCCATGTTGCTAAATCTAAATGCCATTCGTTCCCTCATTAGCAAATGACACACATGACCATTCTCTCTTTGAAATATTCTTTTTTTTAAGATCTCTATTTATTTTTATTTTATTTTTATTTTTTTATTGATTATGAAATATTCTTTCAAGACACCCCATTCTCCCAGGTTTCCTCCTACTTTATAGTCTTGTTTCTGAGTTCTCTTTCTGTACTTCTTATCCTTTTAATGTTCGTGTCTCCAGTTTTAGTCCTTGGCCTGCTTGTTCTCTGTCTATTCCATATTTAATCTCTCCCATGATTTTAAGAAGTTTGCCTGTGCTGAGGATTCTCAAAGCTGTCCACTGCTTTCCATCTCCACTACTACCACCATTGTGCACTAATATATACTTTCCTGGTAGCCTGTAAACTGGGCACCTTAATTGCACTGTTGCTCCCCTGTAGTCCATTCCTAACACAGAGGAGCTTTACAGGAGCTTTCATTGATAGTGTCCTGCCTTATCAACCTCACGCCATACTGTCCACTCTTTCTTATCATACTTACTATACCGGTCTGCCAGGTTTCTCAGCTGCACCCAATCCATGCTTGCCAGGGATCTGTGTACTGATTTCCTCCTGAAACTCTTTTGGCTCTTATATGGCCAGCTACTTCTAATCTCGGCTCAGTTTTATTCTTTCTGAGAGCCCTTCCCTCACTATTGTGTCTGAAATGGTATTTCTTGCCTTCCACTCTCAAAACCAAATACCACAATGTCTAATTTTCTTGTTTGTTTCCTATCTACTAGAGTTTAAACTCTTGTGCAGAGATTATCCGTCTCATTTGTGGGTCTGACCACATAACAAAAAGTATTAAATGGAATTAGAGATAGGAAACAAATAATGCAGAGGATGGGGTAAATAAAGGTTCTTCGGCCTTTTTGGAGAAATTGGGTAAATCTCAACTTTACGTTTGTAGTTGAAGTCATTTTGCAAGTGTTCTTTTGTTTATCCTCTGTAACTTGGTGCTGTATTGTTTACTAAAATTGAATGCACTTGTTTTGGTAAATTCAGGTCATGACAAAGAACTGAAAGAGGTCTGGGAGATTACTTCAGAAATACTTTAGAAGATAGTACTATGGTCAGACAACTTCATGTTTTCAAAGGGTGAACTGGACAACTGGTTGTAAGCAGTTGTTATGGATGAAAAAGTGGGCGATTACCAAAATACCTCTGCTTAAAATTAAGTAATTAAAATCTTAGTTTTTGCCAAGAATGATTTTAAACATTCTGAAGTTCTGAAAAACTAGATATTACATTGGCTACATGTTTTATTTTTTACTAAATATGTTTTACAAATGTTGCTTCCTCAGTGATGGCTCACGAAGCAATGGAATATGATCTTCAGGTGCAGTTAGATCATAATGCTGCCGAACAGCCTGCTCCATCTGAAGTGGTCAACAGTCAAGGGGGACCACCCCTGCTTCAGCCTGCTTTGGCTGAAGTGGTCAGCAGCCAAGGGGGACCCCCCCTGCTCCAGCCTGCTCCTGCTGAAGTGGTCAACACCCAAGGGGACCCTCACCTGCTGCAGCCTGCTCCACAAGTGTCCATTGACCTGACAGAGGAAGTGGAGCTCTTGGGAGAAGAGAATGTGCAGAACATCAATCCAGGAGCTTCAGAGGAGCATGGGCAGGAGTCTGGTGCTAACCACACTATTCGAGTAGCTTCTTTGGAGTCAATGAGCAGCTTCCTTAATGGGCTACAGAGACTTCATGGCATGCTAGAATTCCTGAGACCACCTTCAGACCACAATGTGGGGCCAGTGAGAGCCAGGAGGAGGAGAGGGACAGCTTCACGCAGAGTGAGAGCTGGAGGGTCTCAGAGGACGGACAATGCCAGGTAAATATAATGTCTAGATTGCACGATTAGTACCAGATTGGGAATTATGAACCTTAGGCTCTGGTCATACCCCCAGTGCTGCTGTTGATAGGATAGACATTGACAAGTCAGATAACTTTTCTGAACCCCATTTCCCCACAGGTCAGATGAAAATAAAAGCGCTTGCCTTATTTACATAACAAAGTAATGGAGGAGATAGGTATACTTAGATACTTTGAAAACTGGGTGGTAGTTTGTTGGCAGTGGCTCTTGTGGAGGCTGTTTTTTTTTTTTAGATAATTTGCATCTCGTATATCAGAAAAAGTATTTCTTAACTTGCAAGTTCATTCTACTCACCCAAGATCCATTGTTCATGGCACTCCACATAGACCACAGACTGGATTTAGAAAACCCTCGTGGAAAGTAGAATGTGATTTAATTTGGAGCATATAAGTAGGAAGCATTCCAGTTCTCACCTGAAAAAAGTGTTGAAAAGTTGAAAATTTTCTTTCATAGTTTTTTATTTGAACTTAGGTGTTAAAGGGCTTAGCTGTCAAGGGTTATTATAAAGAATAACAGTTGTTTGTCTTGTATGTTTTTAACTTCTTCTTGCATTTTAAATACTGTATTTCACATTTGGCCTTTTAAATATTTTTTGTGTTTATAGAGGTTGAATTTTAACAGGCCCTGAGTGTTTTGTTCGGGGTCTCATAGCTACCACATCAAGGAAGTAGAGTTGGCATTGGGACCTGGATCACTGATTTTCTACACAGGCAGCTAGAAGGGGATTTGAGCAAATCCACTTGTTTTAACACTGTGAGAACGTTGAGATGATACTAAAAAGACAAGTAGCTAGGATGTCTGTTTACCTGTTTTACAAATGAGGAAGCCTTTTGGATGATTTGTGATTTGTTGGGGGTAACTCTGGAATTGGGATTGTGCCTTCAGTTGCAGAATTTGGTATCCTTTTATTTTTTTTAAGATTTTATGTATGTATTTTTAGAGGGGGAAAAGAGGGAGAGAAACATCAATGTGTGAGAGATACATGGATTGGTTGCCCCTCACATGCCCCTATCTGGGGACCTGGCCCGCCATGCCCAGGCATGTGCCCTGACTGGGAATTGAACCCGTGACCTCTGGGTTTGAAGGCACTCAGTCCACTGAGCTACACCAGCCAGGGCCCTTTCCTGTGAATCCTGATGATTACAGTAACAGGGCTTGCTGTTACCGTGGCTGTACTTGCTCTAGTGCCCAGTCACTTCTGGGTGTGACCCATCAGGGCTGATGGGTGTCTAGTTCTGTGTTGACAGGAGTTGCAGGTGCATGTTACTCTGTTATTCCCTCAGATAGGTATCATTCCCTCAGATTATGAAGGCAAAATAAGATTTTACACATTTGTGTGATAGGTGACTACCTTGTAGTGCAATTCAGGGGCTCTGTTGAAGCGATTAGTGGACTGAGGGTTTGGTGTCCCTAGGAACTGGCTGTGGCACCAGGAGGCCTAACTGCATTCCTCAGCCTTGGTTGTTCATACACTCAGGGGGATTTGATTGCTTTTAGTGGGGGACACTTAATTTTGTTAGCCAAGTCACAGGAGAGTAACACTTACAAACCCGATGTCACTTCACAGAGAGACATAGAAATGCTACAGAAACCAAGTTATATTTTTGACATGGGTGGCATGATTCTCCCAGGTGGTATTTTCACACAGGAAGACAAACACTAACCAGGAAATTGCTTGATGCATGTAGAATCTGTGCTTTGGTTATGGAATTTAGATGTTGAAAGATGTTAGTCAAGCAGTCTTACTGACTCGTATGTTTGTTTCCACAAAGTGCAATAAACCTGAACAGAAAGGGATTGTGTAAAGAACATGGATTCTGGAGCCATATGGGTACTAAAACTTTTTTCCCCTAAATATTGTAAGCAAATTCCACAGTAAATTTACATTAAAAATGTGCTCTGTTACAGGACTGATTGCTTATACCTTCTGAATTTCTTTTTTTTAAAAAATATTTTACTTATTTATTTTTTAGAGAGAGGGGAAGGGAAGGAGAAAGAGTGGGAGAGAAACATCAATGTGTGGTTGCCTCTCATGTGTCCCCAACTGGGGACCTGGCCCGCAACTCAGGCATGTGCCCTGTCTGGAAATTGAACCGGCAACCCTTTGCTTCACAGGCCTGTGCTCAACCCACTGAGCCACACCAGCCAGGGCCCTTCTGAATTTCTTGACAAGAATTTCTCATTATGGTGTTAGGCATTTATTCTCCTGACAGACTATCCCTGGGTCCGATGTTGAGAGCCTGGGTCAAAATGAACAGTTCTTACCTCTGAATATTTATAACATCCCACCATATGAAGGACTGTACTTTGCCTTGGAGATGCATTGGTGAACATCCTGTCCGATCAGGGTACGTGTTCTTGTGGAGCTTGTGGGATTTAGGACTACAGAGGTTAAGCAGGGGCAAGAGCTTATAGTATTATTTAATTCAGAAATAATAAGGGACATTATCATCAAAATAATGCAGGGAGTGAGGTGGATTTCTTGGGTTTCAGTTTGCACTCTCAAAGAGAAACCTCTAGCGCTGCCTCCTGTTGCTCTTTGTCGTTGCCCTTTCCTATGTCCTGACCTGCCCTTGGAAATGCCTATTTTGCTATTGTATTCCTATTGTAAAAGCAATATTGAGTAACTTTTTAAAAAGTCAGCCACTTAATTTTTTACTTCGAGCTAGACCAAGAACTAGAAGACTCAAAAATATTAAAATCAGGAGTGAAAGAGGGGACATTGCTGTCAACCTTACAGAAGAAAACAGTATTATAAGGGAATACTGTGAACATTTTTATACCAAGAAATTAGATAACCTAGGTGAAATTGACAGGTTTCTAAAAAGACATAAGCTATCAGTACTTCTGAGAAAAGGAAAATTGAATAAGCCAATAACTAACGAACTAGTAATTAAAATAAAATTCCACAAAGAAGAGCCCGGAACTTCTCTGGTTAATTATACCAAACATTTAAAGAGAAAATAACAGCAATACTTCATAAACTGTTCTAAAAAGTGGAAGAGGCAAGAATACTTTCCATCTGGTTATATGAAGCCAGAATTACTCTGATACCAAAACCATACAAAGACATCACAAGAAAACTGTAGACCACTACCCTTTGTGAATATAGATGCAAGAACACTCAACAAAATGCTAGTAAATCAGATCTAGCAACATATAAAAAGGATTATATACCATAACCAAATAGAATTTGTTCCAGGGAAGTAAAATTGATTCAACATGTAAAAAGCAATCAGCAAGCCCTCACCGGTGTGGCTCAGTGGGTTGAGTGTTGTCCGTAAACTGAGAAGTCCTGGGTTTGATTCCTGGTCAGGGCACGTGCCTACCAGGTCCCCCGCTGGGGGTTGCAAGAGGCAGCTGATCCATGTTTCTGTGGTACGTTGATATTCCTTTCCCTGTATTTCTACTTTCCTTCTCTCTAAAAATAAATAAAATATTTTCTTTAAGAAAATGAGTAAGATACACCATATTAATACAGTGAAGAGGGGGAAATGCTTGACAAAACTGCTTGACAAAACTCTGTCACAAAGAACAAAACGCTCAACAATCTAGGAATGGAAGAGAACTTGCTCACCCTGATGAAGGGCAGCAATGAAAATCTCATAACAAATCTACTAAATGGATAAAGACTGAAAGCTTTGCCCTTCATTTCAAAACAAGACAAGGACGTTTGCTTTTTCACTTCTATTCACCATCGTACTGATGATTCCAGCCAGGCCAATTAGGGAAAAGAAAAAGTGGGGGGGGGTGCATTTGGATTAGAAAGGAAGAAATAAAACTAGAGCTATTTGCACATAATATAATCCATGTATTTATCATCAAGTTGTGACAAAAGCCAGAGCCAAGAGGCTACATATTATATGATCCCATTCCTGGAATGTCCAGAATGGGCAAATCCATAGAGATGAAATAAATTAGTGGCACCAGAGGCTGAGGGGAAGAGGAAAAGAGGGAGTGGCTGCTTATGTATGGGTACAGAGTGCATTCTAAGTATGGTGAAAATGTTTTGGGCACTGGCCTGTATGGTCAGTTGGTTGGAGTGTCATCGTATAAACGGGAAGGTTGCAGAATTTGTCCTGGTTGGTTACATATGAAAGACAACTGATGTATATTTCTCTTGCATTGAGGTTTCTCTCTCTTCCATGTTTTCCCTCTCTCAAAAAAATTTATTAAGCATGTCCTCTGATGAGGATAGAAAATAATAATAAAATAAAAAATGTTTTGGAATAAGATAGTGGTAATGGTTGCCTAACGTCATAGTTACGCTAAAAATCACTGAATCGTACACTTAAATTGTGAATCAGAAAGGACTCAATATTGCTCTAATAATTTTTATGTACATTTTTTTCCTTATCGAGGACTTCCCCCCCATTGGTTTTAGAGAGAGAAAGGGGGTGAGGGCAAAAGAGAAACATTGATGTGAGAGAAACATGATCAGTTGCCTCTTGCACACCCTGACTGGGGTTCGAACCTGCAACCCAGGCATGTGCACTGACGGGGGATCGAACCCACCCCACCACCTTTCAGTTCACGGGACAACACTCCAGCCAACCAAGCCATGCCAGCCAGGGCCACATTTTGGTTTCTTTTTCCATAAGGACAGATTTTCTTTCTATTAAATTGGATACCAGATAATGTTTATTTTATTCCATTTAATCATCCATTTTTAATAGAAAGCCCTAGTTTGCCATAGTTTTTGGTATGAGAAATCAATTTTTTTTATGTGAACAATCTCCAACAATGTTTCTGGGTAATGATATATCTTAATGTAAAAAACAGTTACTAAAACTTAAAGTATGTTACTTTTCAGTAGTAATACTTTGTGATTATTAGTTTATGGTATGTTCTAAAGTTCAGAATACCATTTAAGTTTTTAATATAGAATGTCATTAATTCTAGGCTATATGTGGAGTATGGTTTGTTACCTTGCCTAAGAGGGAAACCGAGGTATTATAGTGTTCATAATTAAAACTCAGCCAGCCAGAAGGAATTAGAGTGTTAAATGAAGAGGTGGCTCTGGCCAGGTGGCTCAGTTGGTTGGAGTGCTGCCCCATACACCAAAGGGTTGCAGGTTCAGTTGCTGGTTGGGCTTATGCTGGAGGCACTTGATGGATATTTTTCTCTTACATCATTGTCTATTTCTCTCCCTTCCTCTCTCTCTCTCAAATCAATAAACATATCCTTGGGTGAGGATTTTTTTTTAAGTGAAATAAGGGGTGAAACGATGACTGAAGCCAGACTTTCTACTGTATTCCAAAAGACCTTGATCTGCCTAGCTGCAGCAACAGAATCCCATGAGACCATGTTTGACCTACAGGGCCCTTTTTCTTCTTGCCCACTCCCTCTTTCCCATCTTCTAATACTAACAGACAAGTTGCTGAGTTGTGTTTTTTCAAAGAAATTGACACATAGCCAAAGGCCAGTAAAGTAGAAATAGCTTTTAGCATAAGGGTAAAGCTGTAGTGTGGGTTAATGTAATTGAGTAGAAAAAAGAATGTGTAGACCATCCGGCATCTCACTAAATCTGCTATTTCTGCTTCCGTGTTCAAAGGTAGCATTTAATGACCTGGAGATGGGTTGAAATGACTAGGATCTACCTTCAAAATACTGTGGGTTATTTTTGTGATGGTGGTCCATTTCACTATAATTCTGTTGTCTTTCTCCATAAATAGGTCCAGAGCGCCGCTGGATGCTTACTTTCAAGTGAGCAGGAGCCAGCCTCCTTTGCCAACCACCTCTCATGATTCAGAGGCTAGCAATCCTGTCTCTGAAGACTTGCAGGTATCCAGTAGTGCTGATTCCGACAGTGACAGTTCCATAGAGTATGAAGAGGCTGTCGTCCCTGCAGAGGAACCTGGTGCTGTTATTTTAGAAGGTGAGTGTTTTATCCAGCTTCAGGTTCACAAGGCTAACATCTAGAAAACGGTGACTCTAAAAGGCTAGAAACTCTAAATATGTGTTTTGATCTCCCCACACACACTGATGTTACAGAATCCTGCTTTATAGTGCAGCTTTCACTGGCCATGATTATATAGAGAGAATTTGATCTGACTTTCAATTTAATGTGATTTGTGCCCCACTGAATCGTTTTACTTTGTAATGACATTCTACATTCCCTTTCATATTTTTGGGGACATCTGAGAAAGAAGTAGGTTGTGGGGTTTTTTTGTTTGTTTTACAAAAAGCTCTAAATTCATCACCCCATTTAGTCTTCTACTTTTTAAGTCCTAGTATAATGTTACATATTGTGCAAGTGGAACTTTTATTTAGCGGTAGGTAGGCAGAGACCCCCTAAAGCGTGTCTTGCTTGCATATAAAACCCTCTGATACTCCAGATTGTGAGCTTTTCCTACTAAATGGAATGAGGGCTTTTTTGAGAAATGGCTTTCTAGGTCTTGGATAAGAAAGCTAAATGGTGAGCTTAGAGCATTTTATTAGGCTAGAAAGCAAGGAAACCATATGAGTCTTCAGAGTTAGTTATGTCAGTAGGAGCAGGAGCAGCCTAGAAAAGGCTCTTGGTGGCTTCAAATGGGACAATTTCAGCAACAAAAAGAATAATGTGGGCCTGGGAATCAAGCAACCACGGTTCGATTCCCAGTCAGGGCACATGCCTGGGTTGCAGGCCAGTTCCCAGCAGGGGACACACAAGAGGCAACCATACATTGATATTTCTCTCCCTCTCTCCTTCCCTTCCCCTCTAAAGATAAATAAATAAAATCTTTAAACCCACAATTCTCTCCCTCTCTCCTTCCCTTCCCCTCTAAAGATAAATAAAAAAAAATTAACAAAAAAAACAAGTAAATAAAATATTTTTAAAAAGAGTAATGTACACTTGAATTATGAATTGAAATACATCAGGTTTATGAAAATATTTTTTAATACCCCATTCATCAGTCATCATAAATTGTTAGAGCCCTAAGTCATTACTCTGAAAGCTTTTAAATAAAGAATTAAGCCCTGGCTGGTGTGGCTTAGTGGATTGAACACTGGCCTGTGAACCAGAGGGTTGCTGGTTCAGTTCCCAGGGCACATGCTTGGGTTGCAGGCCAGGTCCCCAGTGGTGGGTGCATAAGAGGTAATCACACATTCGTGTTTCTCTGCCTCTCTTTCTCCCTCCCTTCCCCTCGGTCCAAAAATAAGTAAATAAAATCTTTAGGAAAAAGAAAATAATGGGAATGGGGCTTAGAATGGGATAAGATTGGCAAGATACTATTTTTAAAACGGGGTAATGGATGCCTATGGGTTAGTTATGCTGTTGTACTTTTATGTATGTATGGGGAAAAAACCTAAAATCAGTGAAAAAGATAAATTCACTGATGCTACTTGGGAAACTGTCATCTCTTTTACAGTAACACTACAATTAGAAATGGTGAGTGAGTCAGACTCTCCCGCTAGCCTTTGATACCTTATGACTTATATCTTCTTTTGTCATTACCTTTCCTGTCATTTCTGGAAACGACTTGGCAGAACCAGCAGGCGATGTTTCAGCAGAGCAAGAAGTTGTATGTATGGGAAGAGAGACCCTCGCCAAGGAGGTAATATCTTATTCTTTTAAATAAAAGGTTTGGATTTTCATTTTAAAAAGGAGGCTATAGGCTACAATGGAAAACCTACAGGCTTTGAAAACAGGGTCTAGGAGTGGATCCTGTCCAAGTTAGTCATTTGCATGACTGTTTTCTCTTAGGTTAAAAAAGGTTGGGGAGTAGACAGTGGAAATGTGAGGATAACTTGTCCCGCCTAACTAACAAGGTTAAGTAGCAGTTAAAATCGTAGATATGAATGTAGTTTGTGAACTCTCTGGCAGAATGTTATTACTATGTGATAAACATACATTGTTATCCTTAATGTGAAAGTTATTTACATTAACTGTGGGTTCTGCCAATCCCAAAATAAATATCATTGATCTACTTTTTGCATGTTTCTCTGTAGTCTCCCTGTTTTTATTTCTTACCTCTAGAGAAATTTTATGTATGTGCAAATTTATGTGTATAAATGTTCTATTTTTAAATTTCCACAAATGAGATTGTAATATATCTTGTTTTTTGTTCCTTTTCCTCCTGACTTACTACATTTTAGAGAGCTTGCTATTATCAGTATATAAAGCTGAATCTCATTTTTATTAATTGCTTAATAATAGTGTATCATCACATAAGTAAAATTTTAGTTAACTTTTCCCTTGTGTACACTATGGTTGTTACCTTTTATTTTTTCCTAATACAAATCATGCTGCATTGAGCATCCTTGTATAAATGTATTGGCAAATTTTGTGTCTATATTTATGATATATAGAAGGAAGCAATCCTAGCAGAGAGATTGTTGTGTCAAAGGAAAGATATGTATTTTAGTTTTGATGGATAATGCCAAATTGCCCTCTGGAAAATTTGTCCCACTCTCTACTTACAGCACAGTATGTAAGCTTGCCCATTTCTCCCTCACCCTCAACAGTGCTTGCTGTCATCGGACATCAATTTATACCCCCTAATAGATTAGAAAAAATGGTGTCTTTATCTTATAATCCTTTAATTGTAAGTGAACAAATATTGACCATTTGTATTTTTGTGTAAGTTAGTTATATTCTTTGTTTTTCTAGTATTTTTCTTTGATTCACATGAGCCAAGTATTTTATAGCTTCTTTAGTTGATTTTGAACCTAATTTTGGATGAATAACAAACCTACTGTTCCCTGTTATTGGTTTTCTGAATAACTGATAGTTTGTGTTTATATATGTGTATATGTGTATGTGTATGTGTGTTTAATAAAGATACCTTTTTCTTTATTTGAATGAAAAAATTCAAATTCGTAAGATCAAGGGGTAGTAATATTTTTGTAGCTTGTATTAATTTGACTAGATTGCATTCTAGAAAGAACAACAGGTGATTCATAGGTGTTGTAGTTTTCCTACAGTGTTTTCCATTGGGTTTATATTATTTTTGTGTGGTTTTGTTAATATGATAGTTGCATGTCCTCTTCAAGACTGACTTTCCATTTTCTGTCATTTGAATGTGTCCTGGTTTCCATCCAGCAGTCTCCCCAGAAGTCCGGCTCTCTTCTGCCTTCGGCTTATACAGATGAGGAAGAAGAAGGGGACACTTGCACAATATGTTTAGAACAGTGGACCAATGCTGGGGATCACCGGCTTTCTGCATTACGCTGCGGGCACCTCTTTGGGTTTAGGTGCATTTCTAAGTGGCTCAAAGGACAGACACGAAAATGTCCCCAGGTAAGGGGTCCCAGGCAGGGTCTGTGCATCTGCACAGTCATGTTAAGTCAGGAGGATTCCTGGAACCCTACTAATTGTATCCTGTTGGGCTCTTTAGTGCAACAAGAAAGCCAAGCACAGTGACATCGTTGTCCTTTATGCCCGAACCCTGAGAGCTTTGGACACTAGTGAACATGAGCGCATAAAAAGGTAGGTAGAAAGAGTCTACCTAGCTGGGTTGGTCCCTTTTGGTTCCTTGAGTCACTCTTACTGGGATTCTGAAGGTTTTCTTGGGCTGTGACTGGGGATTTTTGGCAGTCTTGTCTCATGTTGTGATTTGTGATAACATATCTGATCATCTGAAGGAGGTCTGCATTGTTTGCTCTCCGTACAGCATTAAAAAAGAGGATCTGAGTTAGTGAGTAATTGTGATTTCAGCTATTCCTGAAGTTAAACTCCATGGGTTTCTCAATTACGCAAGTTAGTACATTGGTTTTCAATTTAAGTTTGCCATTTTAAAGTTTCTATTGTAATGTACAGAGTACTAACCAGTGTTGCAGAGAGACATGAAAGTAGGGCAGCAGGAGGAAGACTTTCTTTTTTTTTTAAGATTTTATTTATTTATGTTTAAAGGAGAAGGGAAGGAGAGAGGGAGAGAAATACCAATGTATGGTTGCCTCTCATGAGTCCCCTGCTGGGAACTGGCCTACAACCCAGGCATGTGCCCTGACTGGGAATCCAACTACGATCCTTTGGTTTGCAGGCTCGTGCTCAATCCACTGAGCTATACCAGCCAGGGCAGAAGGAAGACTCTTGTTACTTGTGTGCCCAGCACCTCTTGTAAGCCTCTGCTTTCAGAGTCTGAGTGTTGTGTGCTGATTGGAATAGGTAGGTTCTGATAGAATGGAGCAGTTGTTTCTTCCGCAGGAGCACTTAGACATTCCCATGAAGTTGGAATCAACCTTAAGACTTAAGCCTTTGCCCTGGCTGGGTGGTTCAGTTGTTTGCAGTGTCGTCCCACACACCAAAAGGTTGTAGGTTTGATCCCTGGTCAGGGCACATACCTAGGTTGCAGGTTGGATCCCCAGTCAGAGCACATCTAGGGGGCAACCAGTCAACGTTTCTTTTTTACGTCAGTGTTCCCTCTCCCCCTCTCACTCCCTCTCCCCCTCTCACTCCCTCTCCCCCTCTCACTCCCTCTCCCCCCCTCACTCCCTCTCCCCCCCTCACTCCCTCTCCCCCTCTCACTCCCTCTCCCCCCCCCCTCCCCCTCTCACTCCCTCTCACTCCCTCTCCCCCTCTCACTCCTCTCCCCCTCTCACTCCCTCTCCCCTCTCCCCCTCTCCTCCCTCTCCCCCTCTCACTCCTCTCTCCTTTTCTCCCTCTCTCCTCCCTTCCTCTCCCCAAAATCAATAAATATATCCTTGGGTGAGGATTAAAAATAATAAGACTCAAGCCTTTATCCCTTCTTGACCTTTTGGCTAAGATCAAGTGTTGTATCTGTTCTTACCAGTTTAATATCTGATATGTCCTCTATCTGAGGATATTAAATGCATTTTTGGAGCATGAGGATGGAATAGGAGCTTGCTCTGTCCACTCTGTACATTGAGCAGGTATTGCAGTACTTCTGGGAATGGTGCATCCCCTTGGGATCAAAGTCAGTCCTGTGAAGGGTAGCTTACCTTTTGTCACAGGTGCCCTCAAAACACTTAGCAGGGCTAGGTGGATAGCTTGCCTTGATAAGCCAAGGTTGCAGGGTCATTCCCCGGTCAGAATCAATGAATGCATAAATAGTTGGAACAACAAATTGATGTTTCTCTCTTTCTCTCCCTAAAATAAAATTTTTTTAATATTTTTTATTTATTTTTAGAGAGAGGGGAAGGGAAGGAGAAAGTGGGAGAGAAACATCACTGTGTGGTTGCCTCTCATGTGTCCCCTTCTCGGGACATGGCCTGCAACCCAGGCATGTGCCCTGACTGGGAATCGAACCAGTGACCCTTTGCTTCACAGGCCCCCTGCTCAATCCACTGAGCTACACCAGCCAGGCCTAAAATAATTTTTTAAAGGGTTTATTTCCTCAGTAAATATGACCTGGGGAGATCAAGACCATGGTGTCTTAAGCCCTCCTGAAATCAAAAGCCATAGAGAAATGTATAGCCTTGCTCTAATACCTTATACCTGATATTATAGCAGAAAGATATCCTGGGTTTTTTGTAACCTGTCCAGATTTTAACCTAGGGATTCTATTTATTTACTGCCTGTCTATTTACTTCTGCTAAATACTGTGAACACTGAATTTGAGATTCTTGGTGTATAGTCTTTGTAGCCAATTCATGGCCATCTGAAACGTTCTCTAAATCTTGGTATCTTTGCTAGAATAGGCTTAATAATATATTTTTAAGAGGATCTAGCATATTACTTAAATATTGCCATTTTTGCTTATGGTGTTCCTAAACCCTCCTATAACAGCACTCTATACAGAAGATTCATAAATGAAAGTACACAAGCACAACCATTTGTAGAAGCTCTTAGCTTTATGCTTCAGCAGCCTTTCAAAGTAATTCCCTGACCATCCTGGCTCAGTTGATTTGATTGAATGTCATCCTGCAGAGTGAAAGGTCGCTGGTTTGATTTCGGTGGGGACATGCCTGGGTTATGGGCCCGTCCCCTGTTGGGTTTGTGCAAGGGGGAGCTAATCGACATTTCCCTCTTTTCCTCCCTCCCTTCTCCTCTCTAAAAATAAATAAAATCTTTTAAAACATAATTCTTCAAGCCCTGGCTGGTGTAGCTCAGTGGATTGAGTGCGGGCCTGCGAACCAGACAATTGTGGTTCGATTCCCAGTCAGGGCACATGCCTAGGTTGCAGGCGGGTTCCCTGCAGGCCAGTTCCCAGGAGGGGACGCACAAAGGCAACCATACATTGATGTTTCTCTCCTTCTCCCTTCCCTTCCCTTCTAAAGATAAACAAGTAAAATCTTTAAAAATAAAATAAAATAAAAACATAATTCTTCAAAGCTGTAGTACATTTATTTGTTTGTTTGTTTTTATCCTTACTTGGAGACATGTTTTCATTGCTTTTTAGAGAGGAAGCAGGGAGAAACATTGATCGGTTACCTTCCTGTATGCATCCTGACCAGAGATAAAACCTGCATCCTGGCTATGTGCCCTGACCAGGAATCAAACCCACAACCTACAGTCTGTGGGACAATTGCTCCAACCAACTGAGCCACCTGCTGGGGCAAACCTGTGGTACATTTACACAATAGAATACTACATGACTGTGAAAAAGAAGGAAGTCTTAACTTTTGCGCCAGTGTGGGTGGACCTGGAGGTTATTATGCCGAGTGAAATAAGCCAGGCAGAGAAAGACAAGTACCACACTGATTATATATGGAATATGTATGATTATATATTCCATATATAATCAGTATATCTATCAAGGAATATATCTTGATTATATATGGAATCTGATGAACAAACTAAACAAAATAGAAACACATACATAGACTAGACTGATAGACTGTCAGGAGGAGACTGGATGAAAGAAGGTAAAGGAATTAGCCAAAGAATATATATGTATAACCTCTGGACACAGACATGTGCTTATGGTCAGAGGGAAGGGGGAGTAGGGGCTGGGAGGAGGGAGTTAAATAAGGGGGGGATGGAGACATCTGCAATCGTGTCAACAGTGAAAATAGAGAAATGTGAGATATACAGACATTTAAGAAAAATGAATGAAAACAAGATTTTAAAGTAATTCTACTTTAGGCATTTATTCTAAAGAAACAAGGATATGTGGAAAGATTTACTTAATCTTTTTATTTAACATTGTTAATCTAAGCCAAGAGAATTGAGTAAACTGACAGAATACTGTACATTTTATTAAAACTGCTTTTGAAGTACACATAGTATGTTGTCATGTAAAAAGACATTAGTGTGATTATATTTTTGTGGATTAGGAAAAAATACTAGTCACTGAGGAGTGGAATTATGGACAGTTTTAATTTTCTTTGTTTTTTCTTATTTGCTCCAACAAATACTTATTTCTAGCATTTTAAAATGACAGTCGTATTATAGATACAATAGAAGCTTACTTAAGAACTAAGTTCTTCTTCCATCTCTTTACTCAGAGGATCTATATATAATACGATTTAAGAGGTTTTATATTTTTTGCAGATGTTACTGGATTATAATTTTCCTTCTGTAGCTTGATTTCTTTGGAGGGCACTGGGGGCTTAGTATTATGTTGGGACACATATCCTAGTTGATACATGTAACTATAGTTTATTTATTTCAATTTTTGTATAGTATTTTAGTTCTCTGATTAGAATTTACTTAGGTATTTTGTGGTGGTTTCCAGTCTTTGTTAATAAAAGCAATGCTCCGGAGAGATTGGTGAGTTTCTTTAGGTCTAGAAATGGAATTGCTTTATTGTAGGTTACATATAATTTCAGTTTTCCTAGACAGTGTCAAATTGCTCTTCTGAGACGCTGTTTCCAGTCTGTACTTCCACCAGCAATTTTTTTTTATTTTTTGTACCCTTGCCTACATTAAATGATCAGACTTAGGTTTGCCATTGTTGTGGGATGAGGTAGTGTTTACCTAGCCTGCAGTTCCTCAGTTGCTAATGAAGTTGGACATACTCCTTTGTGAATCGTGTTCATATCATTTGCTCATTTGTGTTGAGCAAAACATTATTTCTTATTTATAGAAATAAATAAGAAATAGTTTTTCATGATTTACAGTTTTTCATGTTTTCCTTATACTAATTTTTTGTTAGTTGTGTACATTGCAGATAATCCTCCCCTTATGTGTGGTTTGTCTCTAACTTGTTTATGGATGGGATCTTTTATTGAACATGAGTTTTTTATTTTTTTATTTGATTATTTTTTCAAGTACAGTTTTCTGTCTGTTTCTCCCATCTATTTTTTAAAGTATCTTTTATTGATTATGCCATTGCAGTTGTTCCATTTCCCCCTCTTCATTTCCCTCCACCCTGCATACTCGCTCCCACCCACATTGTGCCCCCTTTAGTTCATGCCCATGTGTCATGAGTTCTTTAGCTTCTACATTTCCCACACTACTCTTAAAACCCTCCCCCTGTCTATTTTCTCCCCACCATCTATGCTACTTATTCTCTGTATTTTCTCCCCCCTTCTTCTTCTCCCACTCCCCTATTGCTAACCCTCCATGTGATCTCCATTTCTGTGGCTCCCCTCCTGTTTTAGGTGTCTACTTAGTTTGCTTTTGTTTTAGGTGTGGTTGTTAATAACTGTTGAGTTTGCTGTCCTTTCACTGTTCATATTTTTTCTCTTAGGTAAGTCCCTTTAACATTTCATATAATAAGGGCTTGGTGATGATGAACTCCTTGAACTTGACCTTATCTGAGAAGCACTTTATCTGCCCTTCCATTCTAAATGAAAGCTTTACTGGATAGAGCAATCTTGGTTGTAGGTCTTTGGATTTCATGACTTGGAATACTTCTTTCCAGCCCCTTCTTGCCTATAAGGTCTCTTTTGAGAAATGAGCTGACAGTCTGATGGGAACTCCTTTGTAGGTGACTGTCCCCTTAGCTCTTGCTGCTTCTAGGATTCTCTCCTTTATTTTAATCTTGGATAGTGTAATGATGATGTGCCTTGGTGTGTTCCTCCTTGGGTCCAACTTCTTTGGGACTCTCTGAGCTTCCTGGACTTCCTGGAAGTCTATTTCCTTTGCCAGGTTGGGGAAGTTCTCCTTTATTATTTGTTCCAATTAGTTTTCCACTTGTTAGTTTTCCTCTTCCCCTTCTGGTACCCCTGTAATTCAGATGTTGGAATGTTTAAAGATATCCTGAAGGTTCCTAAGCCTCCTCATTTTTTTGAATTCTTGTTTCTTCATTCTTTTCTGTTTGGTTGTTTATTTCTTCCTTCTGGTCCACTCCATTGATTTCAGTCCTAGTTTTCTTTCCATCATTATGGTTCCCTGTGCATTTGCTTCATTTCACTTAGGGTAGCCTTCATTTTTTCATATTAATTTGTGACCAGAATCAACCAGTTCACTTAGTGTAGCCTTCATTTTTTTCATCTAATTTGTGACCAACATCAACTAGTTCTGTGAGCATCCTGATCACCAGTGTTTTGAACTATGCGTCTGATAGGTTAGGTGTCTCTTTGTCGCTTAGATGTATTGGCTCTGAGGCTTTGAGCTATTCTTCTGCTTGAGCCATAATGTTTTGGTCTGTTTGCACCTGTAACATATGAGGGGAGGAGCCTTAGGTGTTCACCAGGGCGGGTCAACCCAGTTGCTGGGTTGCTCTATGTGGGGGCAGGGTCAAAGAGGGAGCAGTGGCGCTTGTTCCGAGCTCTTGGATTTCGGTCCCCTCTGCCACTTTCCACAAGCAAATTGGGCCCTTCCGGTGCTGGTTCCCAGGTGAGTGGGCTTGTATACGTTCTAGGACCCTGTGGGTCTCTCCAACGAACTCTCCTATGAGGCTGGGAGCCTCTCCTGGCACCTCAGCCCCCGAAAGTTTTTCCAATCAGTGCTTTTAGGCTTTATTTCCTGTTGCTGGGGCCCTGAGTTGCGCAGTCTGTCTCACTGCCCTTTTTTTTGCCTGGTTTATCTGCACGCAAATGTGTGTCTGCGGTCAGCCAGCCACCTTTCGTGCCTCATTTCCTCCCCTTACCCAGGTCTGCTAACCACTGCCTATTCCTGCTAGGACCTCTCTTGGCTGGCCACTGACTCCGCCCCCTTACCGGTCTGGATTGTTGTTAAACTTCAGTACAGTTCAATTTTCTGTCTGTGTTGGTTGTATTTTTGTTTCTAAGTCTTTATTGTTCTTAAATTTGGTTGTGCGAGGAGGTACAGTGTTTCCACCTACGCCTCCATCTTGGCCAGAAGTCCTCTGAGTTTTTTATTTTAACCCAAGTCTTTATTACTCTTTTTTTTGTGTGTTTTGGTCTTAACTGCTTTAAGGTCATAAAAACATACTGTCTTATTCTCAAGGTCTTCAAAAGTTTTACTTTTTAATACAGGTTTTTATTCTATTTAAAATCTGGGTTTTGGATAACCACTTGTGATAGCATAATTATTAAATAGTATGCTCTTTCTGTATAAATTTCATTGCTACCTCCATCCTAAATTAAGTTCTATGTATGAAAGGAGTACTCTTTTGTTCCATGGTCTGGTTGTTTATTTTCACTCCAAGTTATAATTTATTGTAGCTTTAAATACGTTCTCCTACCTTGTTGCTTTCAATCAGCTTTGTGGTTCTTGGCACATTGCTCCTTCATACTAATTTTAAAATTAATTTGCTAAGTTCCCAGGAAAACCCTTTGAGATTTTGACTGAAATTGCATTAATTTTTAGAATAACTTGAGAAATGCCATCTTCATGATTTTGAGTCTCTCTAGACATGAACACTATATAATATCCTTCTAGTTACGGTTTTGTGTCTTTTACAAAAGTGCTTTGATTTACTAATCAGGTATATGGTATGTGAGGAATGTGATTGATTTAAATTTCTTAATCTTGATTCTAGCCCCTGCTGAAGTCTTAATAATTGGTAGGTTCTCCTGAATTTTTCATGGGGAAAAATAGGGCAGCTTTATCCCTTTCTTTCCAGATTTCATCTCTTTTTCTATCCTGTCTCACTGAAGTAGAAATCTTCTTTTTTTTTCTTTCTTTCTTTCTTTTTTTTTTTTTTTCATTTCATATATTCAGTTTGTCTTTAGGTACATGCACATGTGTGATTTGTATTCCTGGCGAATGTGCCCTTTTATTATGCACTGTTCTTCTTATGCTTGTTCATGCTTTTTAATTTCTAATTGGTCTTTCTTTTGTTAGCATTTTCCTGGTACAAGCGTCCTCTCTTTTTATCTTCAGCCTTTTTTGTAGCATTATTTGAGTGTCTAATGAATGCCTGGTAGCTTATTTTCTTTAAATCCAAAAGATATCCTTACTCTTTTAACATGTCATTTTACTCTTTTATAATTTGGCCTTACCTCACCCAGTTAGCTTGGCTCTGATCTCGTTTTGCATTTTAATCCTTACTGCTTAAGGAACCAAACTCACTGTCTACTTCAACACCAAAGCCTAGTAGACTCATAAGTTCAGCCCTGCATGCTACATTTCTATATTGTTTCTGGACTTGAGAGATTTTTCTCTTGTTACATTTTATTTACTGTCATGATTTATTTTCAGCTAAGTGTGTATATCATAGCATGAACTTACTATACCCCCTTGATGGGAGGTGTTCTGTAGTCTTCCTGGTGTCTACCTATTGCTGGTTTTCCCCCTCTAGTGACTTACTACAGGAGCAGATGCTAAGGAAGCAGGCTGAGTTAGAAACAGCACAGTGCCGGCTCCAACTTCAGGTCCTCACTGAGGAATGCACTAAGCTTCATAACCGTGTCCAGGTAAGTTTGCCTTTTCTAATCCAAAGAACTTTTGGGATAGGAACTGAAAAGTAACCTGAATATTACTAAGGCTCATCTCAGATACAAATAGGATTTATCAAGTTTTTCAGCAAGTAAACATGACCAGCTCTTTATTTCTGATTAGGGCGTTTGTCCAAAGCGTATATGCTTTTTGATGAATTCTACTACAATCTGAATTAAAAAAAAATTAAACCAAATAATCCAAAACAAGTCATTTCACCTTTCTGAATTTACCAGTAAAATGATGGTTTTAAACAAAAATGACTTTCAACCCTGCCATTTATGATTCTGTGCTCTCTTTATTTCATTTGCTTGTTGCCAGTACTAAAAAACTGCAGTAGTTCTCTAGCATGTGTGTTAACATTTTCATACAATGGATAAGAAACCTCCTTGTATTCGATCAAGAAATTTTGCAGGACGGGAATAACAAATGAAAAAGCTTACATTTACAAAATCTTTTTCATTTTAGGACTTGCAAAAACTTATTCTGCAACATCGGGATAAGCTATTACGGCGTTTCAGGGGCTCCCAAGCAGCATCCCAAAGCAGCTCGCGCCCACACAAGTACTGTTTCCAGAAGACTTTCACGGTATCTCAGAGTGGAAACTGCCGAACTATGTCCTACTGTGATTCTCTGAGCTGCCTGGTAGTTTCACAACCTTCTCCTCAGGCCACCTTCCTTCCAGGTGAACAGTCTGGAGCCTCAGCTCTCATGTTTATTATTGGACTCCATTTATTTCTCTTCTCCCTTTTTTGGAGAACCCAGGACTCACTAGTGGGTGAACACTGTCCACAGCCACCAAATCACATTTTTTCTTTTTTAAAAGATTTTACTTACTTTTAAAGAGAGTAGAAGGAAGGGAGAAAGAGAGACACATCGGTTGGTTACCTCTCATACGTACCCCAACTAGGAATTGAACTGGCCAACTTCCACTTTGTGGAACAACACCCAACCAGCTGAGCCACACTAGTCAGGGCAAGATTAGCTTTTTTTGCAGTTTCCTGTTCATGCAAATATTTTAGGGTACTTTAAAGGTGTCTTTACTGTCTTTTGACTTCATTCTGTAAATTTATTCACTGCGAGGTCAGAAATATGAACATCCATGACAAAGTAAGAGGATATGAGGTACTTGGAAGTGAGCGCTAATGGTGTAGTCCAAGGAGGACTATGTGTTCTATATGTCCCACTGAAGTTACAGATTTGTTTTAGACTAGAAATGTTTCACAAAAAAAACAGTACCTGGAGGGTTAATTCAAATTAAAACAAGATTTAAGCCCTGGCTGGGTGGCTCAGTTGGTTGGAGCATTGTCCTGTGAACCAAAAGGTGATGGGTTCGATTCCTGGTCAGGGCACATACCTAGGTTGCAGGTTTGATCCCTGGTTGGGGTGCAGATGGGAGGCAACCAGTTAATATTTCTTTCTTCCCACCTCTCTTCCCTTCCCCTCCCCATTCCCCTTCCTCCCTCTCCCCCCTTTCTGCCTTTCTTCTTTCCTCCCCCCGCTCTAAAATCAATAAACATTTTCTGACATGAGGATTTAAAAAAATTTTTTTTAATACTTATTTTCAGGAGTGTTCAAATTGACAGATTCCAAATGAAAAGAATTTTGGAATATATGCATTATTTTATCAATAGTATACTAATATTCTTATATTTTATGATTTTAAAGTTAATTCTACATTGTTCTAATGTTGAAAACCCAATCTCCTCATGTGCCCAAATTATTTCTAAATGTTGATGTTTCTTTCTACTGTCTTCATCATGTGATTTTTGCCAACTCTCAGGTCCCTGTCCTTAGCCTGATATCTTTTATCTCCCCCTTAGAAGTTCCATCAAATGCTTCAACACTATTTACCACAACTTTTTAAAAGATTTTATTTGATTTCTCTTTAGAGGGGATGGGAAGAAGAGAGGGAGAAAAATACCAATGTATGGTTGCCTCTTGTGCATCCCCTGCTGGGAACTGGCCTGCAACCCAGGCATGTGTCCTGGGTGGGAATCGAACCGCGGTTATTTGGTTTGCAGGCTTGCTAACCAAATGCATCATTGACAGATGTGTTCTCCCACTCAATCCACTGAGCTACACCAGCCAGGGCAGTACCACAACTTTTTAATCTACTTGTCTTTTGGGCTGTTGGGTTGCTTCCATATCTCAGCTGTTGTAAACAACGCTGCAGTGAATATAAGGGTGCATATATTCTTTCAAATTAGTGTTATGGGTTTCTTTGGATATATACCCAAAGAATATAAGGCAAATATAAGAATAGAAGGCTGGGTCACAAGGCAGTTTCATTTTTGATTTTTTGAGGTAACTTCATACTACTTTCCACAGTGGCTACACCAGTTATTCTCACCAATGCACTAGGGTTCCCTTCTCTCCACATGCTTGCCAGCACAGTTTGTTGGTTTATCCATTGCCATTCTGACAGGTGTGAGGTAATATCTTGTGATTTTAATTTGCATTTCTGTCATGATTAATGACATTGAGCATTTTTTCGTATGTCTGTTAGCTGTCTATATATTCTCTTTGGAGAAGTATCCAGTCAGGTCTTCTGCCCTTTTTTTATCCTCACCTGAAGACTTGCAGTTAGAGAGAGAGGAAGTGGGGAGAGGGAGAGAGAGAAACTGGTTGTATCCTTTCGGTGTATTGCTGACGTTCCAACCAAACCACACCGGCCAGGGCTCCTCTGCCCACTTTTTAATTGGATTGTTTGTTTTTTTTGGTGTTGAGTTATATGGGTTCTTCATAAATTTGGAATCCTAGCCTCTTATGAAATGCATCATTGGCAAATATGTTCTCCCATGCAGTAGGTTGTCTTTTCTTTTGTTGATGGCTTCCTTTGCTATGCAAAAACTTTTTAGGTTGATGTAGTCCAATTGTGTATATTTTTCTTTGTTTTCCCTTGCTCAAGCACTTCGTCCATTCTTTATTGTTTAATGCACCTTGAATGTTTCTGTTTTAAGTAGAATAGGATCTCCAGCACACTCACCGTCTTGCACTCTCTCCCTCTCAGCAGCATTATTAAAGTATAATTAATATAAAAGAAGCTATACATACTTAAGTGTATCATTTGATGAGTTTTAATATACGGTATGTATACAACCCTGGAAACCATTACTGCAATCAAGATATGGTAGTATCTGTCATGCCGGAAGTTTTCTCATGTGCTCGCAATCATCTTCTGACCTGTCCCTTTGTTTTCGCATCCCCAGGCAACAATTGATGGACTTTCTGTCACTATAGATTAGATTACATGTTCTAGAATTTCACATAAATAGTATTATTTTGGTGGAGGGGCAGTCTGGCACCATTCAGAGTTAAGTTTTTTGAGATTCATTTGTATTATTTTGTATGTTAGTTTATTCCTTATTATTACTGGGTAATATTCCATTGTGTGTTTATACAGTGGTTTATCAGATACCTTTTGATATTTGAAGTGGAATATACTTTTTATAATAAGTTATAACCCCAGGATTTTTTTTTTTTTACTTTTTCCTAGGATCATACTGTACTTGTTAAGGAAGGTGGACAAAGGAGCAACTTGGAAAGATAGCTTCCCCTAGGTTGACCATCAATGAAGTATCTCACTCTTATCTTCGGCAGGTTTTGGTGTTAAGATGTTCAGTACTGCCGACATGAAAAGCAGTCAGTACATTCCCATGCATAGCAAACAGATCCGTGGACTGGCTTTCAGCAATCGGTCCAATGGCTTACTTCTCTCTGCTTCCCTAGACAACACTATTAAACTGACCAGGTGAGTACTTTGGGGAGGAAGGTAAAACTTGGGCTGTTTAATGTTAAATAGCATGGAAATTAATATTTGTGTTACGATGGCCTTAGCTTAGATTTGATTTGTTTGTGTTTATTTTTATTTTATTTATTTGGTGGGTTTTTCTGTTTGTTTCCCCCTCATCTACTTTTAAAAGTTTACAAAATGACTGTTAAGCTATGCAGATAAGAATTAACACCCTTGAGATGATAAAGTGACACTGTGGATTCACCGTACCAGGTTAGGACTGCTTATTCCTGGTCTATTACCTGGATCATTCTGCCTAACAAAAGTGCGTTACTGGAGCTCACCCTCCTTGTGCATGTGATGACTTCTCTCATTGGAAGTGGTTCTCATTAGATGTCTGATAGTTGGCTTCCTCTTTAATTTCTGCATCTAAATCCAAGGGACATCGTGATAGCACACTTAGAAACATTTTGACTTTGCAAGAATGCTTCAGCTTAATGTACTGTTAATGTTTTACATATATATGTAAATAATATATTTGTAAATATATATATACATGCTGTGACTTTTTTTTCCAGTGTTAAAAATGAGGAATTTGAGTACCAAAGATTATTAATTACTACCTCTGGTTGGTTGGACTGTAATTTATTTTTATTTTTCTTATATTTTCAACATGAAATAGCATAACCAATGTAGTAAATAACTATGGAGAATGTAATGAAAATACAGTGGAAATGTGCTGTGTCTATGTTCCTTTAATCTACTCTTCCTTACAGCTCAAGAGGAGAACCCATGTGCTCCCTACCCCCCCGCCCCCCCAAAATATTATGGAATCATAAGGAGTTATTTGGGCAGTCCTTAGAGGAATAGTTTATGTGTGGGGGTGTATTCTTAAGTGATCAGCATGAAAATAATAATATATGTTTGATTTTCTTAACACATAGTCGTAAAAGTCTCTTGTAATTCCACAGCCTGGACACAAATACAGTGGTCCAGACTTACAATGCCGGACGGGCTGTCTGGAGCTGCTGCTGGTGTCTTGATGAAAACAATTACATCTATGCTGGACTCGTCAATGGTTCAATTCTGGTATATGACCTTCGAAACACGAGTTGTTATGTCCAGGAATTAATACCTCAGAAAGCCAGGTAGGGAGCCACTCACTTATTTCCTGTAGGCAGCCTCTTTCTCTTGGACAATTACTGTATTAATCCTCTCTTTCCAAGAGTGTTTCATGGTTGGTCATAATTCCTCACAGAGGCCAGTTCTCTCTGAATCCACTGATCTATTCTCACTTAAGAATCAGAAAGATCCTTAGAGTGTATGTTTATGTTCATGTTATTTTACATAGTAGAATGATCTGGTACCAGGTATAACCAGCTTCATAGAATAACTCATCACCCAGCATGGCAAAATGAAGTCAGATCTACATTCGGTACCCAGCTCCACTTGGTATGAGCTGTGGAATTTTGTCATATTGTGATCTTCATCTATAAAATATGGTCAGCACACAGTTGCTTTTGTAGCCACATGTCTAACACCCAGGAAGAAAGCAGTAAAAGGTAGTCCGATAAAAGGTGATTTAAGACTTCCCTAATCCACAGCTAAACCAACTTGATCTAAGGATTCCATGTTACCATGACTTATTTATAATGCAGTTACAGAGTTGGGAGTTTGTGAAGTCAGTTCAAGTTCTGAGGGTGGGTGGCTACCAGCACCACTGTGGCTCTTCAGAATATGTTGAACCCCTCTTGGCCATAATGCTCTGCTGGCGGCATAAAGGTCTCAAAAGGAGAATGGGGTTTATGGCCTGGACCAAAATGACAAGTGTCCTAAGAGACACTTTTATTCCATTTGTAATATGAATATATATTAAAAGAGGGATCTAAATATAAAGATATCACTACAGTAATAATTACTCACTGAAACCTAGGCTCAACAATTTATGGTTTTCTTTTCATTTGGATGGAGTGCACTCATGCTTCAGCGATGTTTGTGGTCAGTGGGCCTGAAGGTAATTGATGTAACTTACACAGATGTGAAATCCAGGCAAAGTAACTGCCATTGATGTAGAGGGACCCACATAGAGTAGGTAATAAAATAATGCAAATAGCAGGGAAATAATGTTTGTGTGTATTGTCTTTTTTTAAAAATATATTTTATTGATTATGCCGTTACGGTTGTCCTAGTTCCCCCCCTTCATTCCCATCCACACCCCTTCCCCACCATTTGCTCCCCCCTTTCATTTATGTCCATGTGTCACAAGTTCTTTAGATTCTATATTTCCCATACTATTCTTGCCCCCCCCCCCATCTATTTTCTACCTAGCATCTATGCTACTTATTCTCTGTACCTTCTCCCCCCTTTTCCTCCTCCCATTCCCCTACTGCTAACCCTCCATGAGATCTCCATTTCTACGGTTCCACTCCGGATCTAGCTGTCCTCTTAGTTTGCTTTTGTTTTCGGTGTGGTTGTTAATAACTGTTGAGTTTGCTGTCCTTTCACTGTTCATATTTTTTCTCTTAGGTAAGTCCCTTTAACATTTCATATAATAAGGGCTTGGTGATGATGAACTCCTTGAACTTGACCTTATCTGAGAAGCACTTGATCTGCCCTTCCATTCTAAATGAAAGTTTACTGGATAGAGCAATCTTGGTTGTAGGTCTTTGGATTTCATGACTTGGAATACTTCTTTCCAGCCCCATCTTGCCTGTAAAGTCTCTTTTGAGAAATCAGCTGACAGTCTGATGGGAACTCCTTTGTAGGTGACTGTCCCCTTATCTCTTGCTGCTTCTAGGATTCTCTCCTTCATTTTAATCTTGGATAGTGTAATGATGATGTGCCTTGGTGTGTTCCTCCTTGGGTCCAACTTCTTTGGGACTCTCTGAGCTTCCTGGACTTCCTGGAAGTCTATTTCCTTTGCCAGGTTGGGGAAATTCTCCTTTATTATTTGTTCCAGTAAGTTTTCCACTTGTTGGTTTTCCTCTTCCCCTTCTGGTACCCCTATAATTTGGATGTTGGAGAGTTTAAAGATGTCCTGGAGGTTCCTAAGCCTCTCCTCATTTTTTTGAATTCTTGTTTCTTCATTTTTTTTTTGTTTGGCCATTTTTTTTTCTTCCTTCTGGTCCATTCCTTTGATTTGAGTCCTCGTTTCCTTTCCATTACTATTGGTTTCCTGTGCATTTCCCTTCATTTCAATTAGTTTAGCCTTCATTTGTTCCTCTAATTCATGACTAAAATCAACCAGGTCTGTGAGCATCCTGATCACCAGTGTTTTGAACAGTGTGTCTGAAAGGCTGGCTATCTCTTGGTCACTTAGAATTATTGGCTCTGGGGCTTCGAGCTGTTCTTGAGCTATAATCTTTTGGTCTGTACGTGCCTGTTACTTATGAGGGGCAAAGCGTTAGGTGTTCACGAGGGTGGGGTGCCCCAGTTGCTGGTTTGTGGCGCTGTATGTGGGGGCGGGGTCAGAGAGGGGCAGTGGCATTTGTTCTGCTCTCTCTTGGATTTCGGTCCCCTCTGCTGCTTCCTGCTAGCAAACCTGGACCCCCTGCTGCTGGCACCCAGGTGTGTGGGCCTGTGTATTCTCCAGGATCCTGTGGGTTTCTCCAACAAACTCTCTGGGAGCCAGGGAGCTTCTCCCGGCGCCTTGACCCCGAAAGTCTTTCCAGTTGGTGCTTTCAGGCTGTGATTCCTGTCACTGGGGCTCTAGCCTGCGCAGTCTGTCTCACTGCTCACTCCTTCGCTTGGTTTATCTGCAGGCAAATGTGTGACCTCGGGCAGCCAGCCGCCTTGCACCCTCACTGTGTTCACCCATTGCCACCCCACCCCTGGGATCCAACAACCATGGCCTGCGCTTCTGGGTCGGTCCGGCCTATCTCTCCTGTGCGACCAACTCTGCCGCTGACTCCGTTCCTCTGTCTAGCTAAATGGTTCATTGTTGTCGGACTTCCATACAGTTCAATTTTCTGTGTTTTGGCTGCGTTTTTGTTACTAAAACTTTGTTGTCTTTAAACTTGGTTGTGTGAGGAGGTACAGTGTTTCCACCTATGCCTCCATCTTGGCCGGAACTGTATTGTCTTGATTTTAGTTTGCTTTTGGTTAGCTAACTGGGAAATGAAGTAAGATGGCAGCGCTGGCCCGGTAGCTCAGTTGATTAGAGCATTGTCCCAATACCACCAGGGTTGCAGGTTTGATCCCTGGTCAGGGCACATGCCTGGGTTGCAGGCTAGGTCCCCAGTTGGGGGCTTGCAAGAGGCAACAATCAGTGTTTCTCTGGCACATAAATGTTTCTCTTTTTTTCTTTCTCCCTCTTTTTCCCTCTTTCTAAAAATATTTGAATAAAATATTTCACAAAGAAAGAAGGCAGAGTGCTTTGGCAACTTTAGCAGAAAAAAGTTCGTAGAAACATAGTCTGTAAGCTAATATTCTGAGGCAGTTCTTGGCATATTGATCATACACTTGCAGAAAAGAGATGTAGAAAACACCTAAAGAAATGATCCTGTTTATAAATTAAAATGTAGTTGCTTGGGGGGATATATTTTAAATGAGGGGGTCTGGCAATTGCAGCTTGGAAGTTTTATTTAGATGTATAAAGCTGTGTTTCTTTTCTGACTTTTCCTATGTATGTGACTAACTCCATTTCCAGAAGCTCATACTAGTCAAATTTTCTGATAATTGTTATCTTGTACTAATATTAGTCCATTTTTTTCATTACTTTTAGACCATATTGTGTCCCTTCCAAAATTGGATGTAGAATATTATATGTATGTCCTTTTATTTCTACAGAGTAGGTTGGTAGTTTTTATGAGATGTCAGAGAATAATGACTCACAGAAGGTTTTTAAACCCTTTTATGGAGGTAGAAATGTGCTCAAGGCGGTTCTTCGTAGTGGGATCTGGAATAATCCAAGTATTAGAATGTGAGGTGTGGGCTCCTTTCTCTCCCTTCAGGTGCCCACTGGTGTCCCTGTCATACATACCCAGAGCTGCCTCGGCTGTGTTTCCATATGGCGGAGTGTTGGCTGGAACCTTGGAGAATGCTTCCTTCTGGGAGCTAAAAACGGGCTCTTCTCACCGGCCTCATGTGCTACCCATAGAGCCAGGGGGCTGCATAGACTTTCAGACAGAGAGCAGCACCCGACACTGTCTGGTAACCTATAGGCCCGGTGAGTGTTGGGATGCCCTCATGGGACTACCTGTGATTTGTTCGGGAACATATTTGTGGAAGAGAGGAAAGGAGAGTTTTCCTTATCCTTCAGTAGTACTGCTAAGCCCCTCAGACTAGTAGCTCTTAACTACTACAGTGAGGATGATGACCCCAAGTTTCTGTGTACAGCCTGCCTTCTTGCTCCTCCCTTGTGTGAACTAGTACAGATTCTGCTAGGTACTTACTCCCTGGAAGTAAATCAGCCACTTTAGGAGCTCCTAGGACTTAGAACAGTAATGGAATAAGGAGGCCTGCTTTTGAGGCTATTGAGCCACTCAGATCACTTTCATGTCTTTTCCCTGCTCCTCACCTAAGAGAGAGGCCCAGATGAAGGCAGCCCTATAGGGCCCAGACTAGGGCATCAGCTGTTCCTTCTTACTTGGGGCCAACATAGTTAAGTGGAGAGTAGATGGACAACCATGGTTGTGTGGGCTTTGCTAGCTGAACTTCTCACTGCCTGCAGAACTAGGGTGCACCCCCAACAATCATCTATGCTTAAATTCATAGGTTCTTTCTAGCCTGAAAGGTATGAAACTATGTCAATGAGCTATACTGATGGTTGGATACTGATGATATCTCTTTCATCAGAGATAGTCATCAAAGTGCTGTACTTTTACTAGTTGTGGGTAGATGTAATCATTAGAATTTTTTTTGAGCTGAGAAGTTGACTCAGCAGAGTCTTCTGACCCTTTCAGTTCTTAGTCATCTTATAGGTCCTCTGTCTCCAAGACTAATGCACTGTGTGTGACATAGAAAACTTGGGTGTTCCATTTTGTTTTCAAGCTTTTGTTTGCCTTTCAGCAGAAGCACAGATGTATGTTTCCCCTTTTATAATACAGTTACACTTTGTAAAAGTATACAGTTGCAGGGCTAATGGGGTCCCCACTGGGGAAAGGAAAAATAATTGTAGTCAGACTGTTAAAACCCAAGCAGAGGTCTGGCAAGATACAGTGACTTTCCTAAAAATGATAGCCCATTCTCAGAATGTTTCTCTCATGGGCAGAACCTATTGTAGATAACTTAATCTACTAGGCTAGGGCTCTGGATGTCATTTGTGCTATGTTTGTTCTTATTATTATGTTTGCTTTGTAGCTATCTTGATGGTTTAATTGTGGCTTTTCCACTCAGCTAGGTTATAAGTGTCTGAGGTACTTGTTATTTGGACTATCTCTGTGGAGCAACACTTTTTCTGTCTCATAGATAAAAATCATAATACCTTACGAAGTGTGCTGATGGAGATGTCCTACAAGCTGGATGAAGCTGGAGAGCCAGTCTGCTCCTGCCATCCTGTGCAGACATTCCAGGGGGGACCCACTTGCAAACTGCTGACCAAAAGTGCTATTTTCCAACACCCAGGGAAGAGTGGCAGCATCCTGGTGTGTACTGGCGATGAAGCATCAAATTCTGCCCTGGTGAGCCTGTTATTTTTTATGTAAAATATGTAAAGCAAAAAGCCAAAGTTCTCTATAATTACATCTCTGCAAATTTGTGTGTGTGTTTATGTTGCTTAGTTTATTTTTTATACAAGTCACACTTTACATATTGCTATGTGGCTTGCGCTTTTCCCGTTTAACTTCCTGTCGTGGTTACTTTTCCATTTCAATATCTGTGGATTCACCTCATTCTTTTATGTAACCTAAAGTGTTCCATGGGCCATATTTTCAACCTTAAAAAAAAGGACCACTGAAACCCCGTATAAAATAATTTTTCGGGCATCTGCTCTCTTAATCCTGGGTGAATCCAGTAGATGAAGGGTTGGCGGGGAATTTCAAGATGCAGGGGTCAGCCTGTTAACACCTGAACATGTAGATCAGCCTTAGCATCACTGTAAGTGGGCTTTTCAGGAATAATTTGCCTCTCGATGCAAGGCAATATGATGAAGCACAGGGCACCTTTTATGAGATGTTCTTGAACCTTAATCCAGGGCTTAAGTATATAAGGGTAGGCCTAGCTGGTGTGGCTCAGTGGATTGAGTGCTGGCCTGCAAACCAAAGGGTTGCTATTTGGATTCCCCGTCTAGGGAACATGCCTGGGTTGCGGGCCAGGTGCCCAGTAGGGGGCATTTGAAAAGCATCCACACCTTGATTTTTCCCTACCTTTTCTTCATCCCTTCTCTCTAAAAACTAAATAAAATATTGTAAAAAATAAGTATATAAGGGTAAAATGACATGAAATTGGAAAAGAAAAAATAGAATTGATAAGGTTGGTATAGTAAAAGCTTAATCAGCTGGGTAATGGGTTGCTCAGTATACTATTCTACTTTTTAATACTTTAAATTTTTCACAATAAAAAGTTTTTTTTAAAAAACACTAGTTAGAAGATAAGTTCTAAATTGCATAAATAATATATTTTTAAATATTTTATTTATCTTTAGAGGGGAAGGAGAGAGGGAGAGAAAAATCAATGTATGGTTGCCTCTAGTGCTTTCCTTGCTGGGAACTGGCCTGCAACCCAGGTATGTACCCTGACTGGGAATTGAACTGCGATCCTCTGGTTCGCAGACCTGCGCTCAGTCCACTGAGCTACACCAGTCAGGGCTTAAATAACATAAATAATATTTTAAGTTAATTTTTAAAAAGATAGGTTTTATAAGGACAAGGACATTGTCCTATTGTCCCTAAAAGACTACCCAGCACATATTGAAGGGATGGCTGCTAGGTAGGCTTGGTATTAAGATTCACTGAGAGGTGAACTAATTGCTTATTACAGTAGGCGAGGCCATACCTGGATCATGTCAGGTGTGTTGATTTTATACAACCTTTGAGATGCTCTCTCTGCATCTCTTTCAAAGTTGATGGGAAAGAAAGCAAATTTCCCAACTGAATTAAATGACTTTATCTTTTATTTTGTCTTTTTTAGCTTTGGGATGCTGGCAGTGGCTCCTTGCTGCAGGATCTGCCGACTGATCAGCCTGTCTTGGACATCTGCCCTTTTGAGGCAAACCATAGCAGCTACTTGGCTACCTTAACAGAGAAGATGGTTCAGATCTACAAGTGGGAGTGACCCTGGTCTTAAAACTTACAAGGCATGCTCCTGGTTAATGTTCACTGTTATTTACTAGCACCTAACAGCCTTGAGCAAGTTCCCTACTTGTCTGTGGCCTAGAACTTTTGGAAACAATGTTTCTTTAGATTAGTATGACTGTCTGCTGGACCACAGAGGGTACCTTCCAGCAGTTTTTTAGGATATGATTGTCCACCATCCATTTTGTAGCCCCTGCTTGAGTAGTCTTGTCACATGGGCTATTTGGTTTGGGAATGCCTATGTCCCTGAAGGGACTAAACATTTGATGCTGCGTGGATGCAGAAGTCTTCAGTTGAACACAAGAGGGCACTATAACTTGCATAGGATTTGATCTCATTCTGACCTTCTGGGTTGACAACCTTTTAGTAACTTGGTTTCATCCCCACAGAAGTGTATAATAGAGCACATCTGGTTTACTTTGGCAACCACAGTTATGTTCCAGTTGTGCAGTGTTAGGATATTGGTATGCCCCGTGATGGAGGCAGCTGGTGAGCTACGGACAACTTTCCTAATGCCGAGTGCATTAAATTCATTGGATTGTGAAAGCCAAGGAAAGAGTGCAGGTATTTGAGCAGTGGGGAAGCTTTTTTTTTTCCTCCCCTCTAGCCAGCCTAGGATCTCAGGAGTGGACCATTCCTTTTCCATGTCAATAGGAAAAGATGAGTGAGTGATATGTTAAAGCTCTTGAATCTCCTAGGATCATATCAGGACTGATGGATGGACTAACTAAAAGAGACTTACAAAAGAGAAGTTGCTCAGACTGCTGCCGTGCTGCAAACAGGAGAAGGGCTTGTTTCTTCTGTTCCAAAAGAGTTCCTACATGAATAAAGCCACCCCTTCTGAGTGAGGGGCTGTTCTTGAGCGTGTAAAGCCTTCCCTCTGTAAAAATAATGTTCAATTCCAAGTTCTTTTGATTTGCCTCCCTTCCTGATCTTTTCTAAAAGTGTCAGTGAGCAGTTATTCTCAGGAAGGTAATAGTGGTTGGATACCTGTGAGTTGCAGGAGATGCCCATTAACGTTTTTTTAAACTCTGGATTGTCCAAATTTGGGCACTGCACTTTTTTCCAGTGGAGGGCTCAGGAGTATGATTTTCTTAAATAATTGTTATAGAAATGTTACTGTTTTTATTTTCAAGTAGTTATGACCTGTCAGTTTCTGAGCCATTTCCAGCATTTCTCTCTAGCAGGGGGTTATTGCAGTAGATTTCCCCAGAGTTCCAATTTCTAGTTGTGCCTTTTACAGAGTGGCCTTCTATTTTAGGGATTTTTTTGAAAGGCCAGTTTTCAAGGCCTGGGAAAGAGCCTCCTTTTCTCAGAGGAGATACTCCTTTTGGTAAGGTAATAGTTCATTTGCCCAGGCCTAGAGCTTCAATGGCAGAATGGGATTTGAATTAAGAAAAAGCAGAACACATCTGGTTTCAGTAGATTGTCACAGAGAGGGATGCAGATGTTCAAACCCTGGCTGCCCTTTTTCTTGGGCAGCAGTAGTATTTGACTAGCCTTGAAGTACACTCAAGGGATGCTGATTGAGTTGCCTAAGCACAGCAGCCAAGGGACGTACTACCAGAGACATTGGGTGAATCTCACTTCTTGCCAATTCTTGCATTTCTGCAATAAATTTGTATGTTTTAGAAACAAATTCATGTGACTGATTTCTTCAAAGGAAAAAAAAAACAACCTCACCTTTAGCCACCCTCCAACACCGCAGCTGTCAGGAGATTGTAGACCCAGACTCTGCAGTCCTGGTAGACCCGTTCCTGTACAGCACCCCGCTCTTCCTACCATGTTTCGTCATTGCTGTCTCTAAGGTTGAAAATATCTTGTTGTATATATCCTTTTACCTGCTTTGAAAACGGGACAGTAGGATCTTTGTTAGTGTGTTTCAATGTTTGTGTGTTTTATATTTTGATCTCAATGCAAAAATAAAGAACCTATCACATTAAATAGCTCCTGGTATCTTTTGTCTCTGACCGCCAGCAGAGGCGGGGACATGTTTGCTTCTTGGGAGAGGGCTATAATCCCAGCCTGGTAAACTTCTTATTTCATGCAGTACTAGGTTTGGGTATTACAGTTACCTTGGATCTGACATCTTATTTAAATTGATAAGGTGGTTGAGGCTTAAGCTAGCAATAACTGTTGCTAACAGGAAGCTGACCGTTAGCCTCTCATGAGCCCCCCAGGGTGTTTGTGTCTTCTTCTTTTTTTTTTTTTTTTTTTAAAGACAGGAAGTGAGGGAGAGAAACATAGAAACATCAATGTGTGGTTGCTTTTTGTGTGCCCCCTACTGGGGACCTGGTTCACAACCCAGGCATGTACCCAGACTGGGAATAGAACCAGCTACCCTTTCCTTCACAGGCCAGTGCTCAGTCCACTGAGCCACTCCAGCCAGGGCCTGGTCATTTGTTTATTCTCAGACCTAAGGGTCTAAATTCTAAAAACTGCATTTCTCAGACTCCTTTTGTCTACTGGCCTCCCATTAGTGTTTTTCGATCCAGGAGACTAAAGTTGAAGGATGCAAGAAGAGGAAAAGACTGGGAATCCAACCCACAACCCTTAAGTGCACAGTGCACAGGACAACACTCCAACCAACCAAGCCATACAGGCCAGAGTGACCTTCAGTTTTGAAATACATTTTCCTTAGTTGTAGAATTCTAGGTTAGCCGTAATTTGTCTCTTTTAGTATTTAAATTACATCATTCCACTGTTTTCTGACCTCTAGTTTCTACCGAAAAGTTAGATGTCACTGTTATTGCTCCATTGAATATATTGTGTCTTTTATCAGCTTTTAAGATTTTCTCTTTTTTATTTTCAGAAGTTTCATGATGACATGCCAAAATGTGTTTTTTAAGATTTCATTCATCCATCTTTAGAGGAGAAGGGAAGGAGAGAGGGAGAGAAATTTCAATGTATGTCCCCCGCTGGGAACTGGCCTGCAACCTAGGCATGTGCCCTGACTGGAAAATGTGGTATTTTTTATATTTATCTGCTTGGGGTTCACAGAACTTCTTACTTATAGGTTGATATTTTTCATTGGTTTTGAGAAATTCAAAATATTGTCTTTTCAAATATTGAGCTGAACCATTTTCTTTCTCTTTTCCTTTTGGGAGTTGAATTATGTGTATGTTAGAACTTTTGACTTCTGTCCTGTGTATCATATTCTTTTTTTTCCTCTCTGCTTTCTTTGGATATTTTTTATTGACCTCTTTCCTTCAGTAATTCTGTCCAGTAGTGTAGACTGAATATCTGTGTACCTTCCCCAAATTCATATGTTAAAATTTTAACCCCCAAGTGTTATGATGGTGGGGCCTTTGGGAGGTGATCAGGTCATGAGGATGGAGCCCTGGTGAATGGGATTACTTCCCTTATAAAAGAGAGCCCACCCTGGCTGGTGTAGCTCAGTGGGTTGAGCGCGGGCCTGCGAACCAGACAATCGCGGTTCGATTCCCAGTCAGGGCACATGCCAGGGTTGCAGGCAGGTTCCCTGCAGGCCAGTTCCCAGCAGGGGACGTACCTAAGGCAACCATACATTGATGTTTCTCTCCTTCCCTTCCCCTCTAAAGATAAATAAATAAAATCTTTAAAAAAAAAAAAAAAAAAAAGAGAGCCCAGAGAGTTCCCAGATATCCTTCTACCATGTGACATTACAGCAAGAAGACAGCTGTGTATGAACCAAGAAGTGGGCTCTCACTAAACATTGAATCTGATGGCACCTTGATCTTGGGTTTTCCAGCATGCAGAACTATGAGAAAGTAATTTCTATTGCTTATTAACCTAGTCTATGGTATTCTGTACAGCAACCCAAACAGACTAAGACACCCAGCCTGTTGAAATCCTTTATTTTTATTTTTTTTAAAGATTTTATTTACTTATTCCTAGACATAGAGGAAGAGGGAGAGAAACATCACTGTGTGGTTGCCTCCCATGTGCCCCCCCACCCCCCAGGGACCTGGCCCTCAAACCAGGCATGTGCCCTGACCAGGAATTGAACTGGCTACCCTTTGCTTTTCAGGCCGGCACATAATCCACTAAGCCATACCAGCCAGGCCTGTTGAAGTTCTTCAATGAATTTTAATTCTAGAATGTTTGCTTACTTGTATAGAATACAATTTTTTAATCTATTTTTTTATGTTCCGTAACAGTTATTTTAAAAGTCTCCATCTGATATAAAGTCTCCATTAAATAATACCTGAGTCATAAGGAGTGTGTTGGCTTTTTTTGTTTGTTTTGGTTATTTAGTGTAATTTTGTCTTTTTAGCATAAATTTTTTACTCAATGCTGTATCATGCAGATTAAAACTTGTAGAAGCTCTGGATGATGTTATCTTTCTCTAAAAAGTTTCTGGTCTTATAGACAAAGTACTGGTTGATCACCCTGACCCCACTGAGATATATTTTATTAGAGTTGGCTTATGTAGTTTTGCCCTTTTTCCAAGAGCAAGTTCCTTGTTCCTAAGATGTCCTCTCCTAGAATCTGGCTTTATTCCTAGGATATAAACCTTCTGAGGTCTCAGTTAAAAGCCCGGGTACTTGCTAAGGCCTCTGTACCTCAGCAGGGTTTAACTCTAATTTCTATTTCCTCAGTTCTTATGTGGACACTGAAATCTCTTCCTATTTATTGTTCCATTGGCTCTTATTTTCTTCTGGATCTGTTGATGTCTCACCCTGTGCCTGCACAGCTTAGGAAATCAGCCAGTGACAAGAGATATTTGTTCATAGATTTTTGGCTCTTTCTCTGTGGTTTCCTCCTCCAGCATTTTGACCCTTAAGTTCCTGCCATTTGGGGGGCTCTGAACTCCTCCTGTGTATCATTTAGCCCAGTAAGATTGCTGCTTACTGCATGGGTTCAATTTGAGCCACAGTTTGGACAGTACACTCGGGAAAAAATCAGCAGTGGGGATTCCCCATATACTTTCCTTTTCTTAAAAATTGCATGTTGCCCCTGATTTCCTGACTGCATTGGTTACTTTCTAATCTCTTCCAAAGATATTTTATGTATCTTATCTAGAGTTTATTGTTTTATTTTAGTGAAAATGAAAACTCCTAGTCATGGTTGGAATCAGAATTCTCCCTAATAACATGTATCTGTAGGGTCTACAGAGTCCTGTATGATCTGACCCTTGACCAGTTCTTGACTCCTTTTAGTCTCCCACTTTCCACATTTTAATTCAGCCACATGGACCTTCATGTTAAATGCTTATTTCCACATCAGGGGCTTGACCTTGTTAACCTCTGCTTGTGGAACACTTTTGTTATGGTCTAAATTCTTTTGTCCCTCAAAATTCGTATGTTGAAATCCTAATGCCCAATGTGATAGTATTAGTAGGAGATGGGGCCTTTTGGAGGTGCTTAGGTCATGAGAGTGGAGCTCTCCTGAGTGGGGTTAAATATTCTTATCTGGGACCTCACAGCTCCCTGGTCCCCTCCACTATATCAGGACACTGAGAAGTTGGCATTCTGCAGCCTGGAAGAGGGCCTTTGCCACAACCCCGCTAAGCTACACACTGATCTCAGACTTTTGGCCTCTAGAACTGTGAGAAATAAACAAATACTGTTCATAAGCCAATCAGTCTGTATTTTGTTATAGCAGCCTGAACAGACTAAAACAACCTAGATCCATTTCTTTACATGGTTGTCATCTTTATGCCAATTGGCTCATTTGTTACTCAGTTTTTTCCTGGCTGCCTTCATGTAGAAGTTCCTACCCATTCCAGTCAATAGAAGAAAATAAAGTATCTTTTATTTTCTTATAGCACTTAACACTGAAATTAACTTGCTCGCTCTTTACTGTCTGATTGTTTATCATATAAGCCAGGGCAACTGTGCAACAGATATCTATTGAATGAATTAGGAAAGTGAGAATTAAAAAATAAAGGGTAAAATGAATTCCTAGTTTATGACAGAGGTAGTATATTTTATCTTGAAAAGCCAATGAAGCCAGGAGACCCCACATTAGGTCAACCCTCTTTCCAGTGACTTGGGGGTTTGTGACTTTTGGAAGGCCTAGGCTTGCTGCCACTGCCTGGGCTGGCCAGGCTCCCAGATTTCTCATAGTATCTTGCTTCTTGGTTACTGTGATTTCAAAATAGGCTCGTATACTCTTCTTTATCTCCAGAGGCAATCTGTGGCTGGGCATAGGGTTTCCTCATTGCAGGATGAGAGATAGGCTACTGCTGGCTCCTCTGAGCAGACTGTCAATTTCTAGCCTTAAACTGACTTGAAATAATCTCCCAATTGTCTGAGCACATGCACATCCATCATTGGAAATTCATGGTCCCTAACCATGGCTGGTGTAGCTCAGTGAATTGAGCGTGGGCCTGCAAACTAAGGGATCTCAGTTTGATTCCCAGTCAGGGCACATGCCTGGGTTGCAGGGCAGTTCCCAGCAGGGGACACATGAGAGGCAACCATACATTGATATTTCTCTCCCTCTCTCCTTCCCTTCCCCTCTAAAGATAAATGAATAAAAATCTTTAAAATTTTTTTCAACAACAAAAAAAGAAAATTAGTGGCCCTTAGTGACTTTTAAAGAACTCTGGTAATGTCTCTTATACGTCTGATTGAGACTTACCTATGCCATGTATCTGTTAATGAATATGTACACTTATCTGGTCTACCCGGGGCTGCCCTACTCAATGCTCGAGGTTAGGAAAAGTCTCAGAACTATTTTATGGCAGTAGCAGATGTGAATGTTGGTAGAGAGGCAAACATGCCCTTATTCTTAGATCTAGAGACCTGGAGTTAGCCACAGTGGGCAGGATATTCAGTCTCAGGGGCTCCTTATAGAGCCCCACCCTACATCCCAGGCTGTAGTTATGTCTGATCTGTTTTGACTGCCCATTTGTGAGTCAGCACAGCCAAAGCTGCATTTTTTAAACATGTGTCATCAGTTGGTATCACATGCTTCAAGCTGCCATCATTCCCCAACATGCTGGATTGGTAGAGTAG